TACCATGTTGTTGTTTACTATCTCTCTTTAGGACCTTGTAAATATTAAAATTACTTTTTCGTACTTTATTTTTGTACTCTTATTGAATGCTTTAGTATTTCTTGTTTGCTTGTTCTTTGTTGTAACGAGTCAAATCAGTTCTTCTCATCCTGAATATTTTATTGTACTGTTAACCTTGTGTTAACCTTGTGTTAACCTTGTGTTAACCTTGCATATGACAAATAAACCTAACTTGAGCTTGAACTGGCAGGGATGTAGTGGAGATCCAGGCCGGAGGAACCTGCGACGTGACGTGATATGGTGACGTATGCTGCAGTGGGAGGGGTTTCCCAGGAGCTCCGCGCCGTTTGTCTCGTGACAGGGATTTCCCCCTGTGCACAGTTTAGGAGGGTTTTTTAACCTGTCTGTTGCTGCTTTCCTCTTCAGAGTTCCTGTTCTGCATCTTGAACTGAAAGTGAAAAAAGTCGCCATTTTCTTTCCAGTAATGTTATCTGCACCGCTGTGTTGTGTGTTAACGTGGAAGTAATTTGGTTTATTAAAAAAAAAAAAATAAAGCTCATCTCTCCAAACAACCGTGAAACTTTGATCAGAAGCTGCTGCTGCTCTTCCTACTTTTAACGAATCTGACAAAGAAACAGCTGAGGTGCGTAAAGAAAACACTTGACTTTAACCAACAAGTTCTTCGAGTCTTTAAACTTTTTTATTTTTTTTACTCTTTTTGTCTCTGTCTGCTTTTTATTCACATCTACTGAATTTCAGACACGTATCTCTATTGTGCGTAAGTGTATCCAAAGCACGAAGATCTGTGATTCAGTCCCTTTAGTTCATGTCTTGAGAGAAGCTAAAACCTAAAGTAGCCTGGCTGGCACTAATATAATTGAAATGTCAACAAAAGATGCCTGCTGCACATCTGCATCCAGATGTGGCACATTTGTACCCCAAAGCGGTTGGGACACTTGTCCTACTTCCTCAATGCATGTAAATTCATTTATTAAATTATTATTATTATTATTATTATTAAATTGTTAAATTATTTTGTCTCCTATAAATATACAGGAAGTAGAGAAGGTGGGCCTGTGATAGGAAGATCGCTGATTTACAGACAACATCAAAATGTGGGTGGGATAGGTGAAGCATCCCATACCTGCCTCCACCCTCATTTGCCCCACTCTGGGCCCTTGAGCAAGGCCCTTAACTTTGTAAAGGAATAGTCGAAACCAGCAACACATCTATTAACAGACCCTACAACCCCCACTACCCTGGGCAGCAGGTGCCCTAAATTGCAGCTCTGTGCTCCACACAGAGGGCTGTGGTAACTCAGTGGTCTGGGACTGTGTCAGAAAGGGCATCTGGCATACAAAAAAAAAAAAATCAAACACCAACAAAAAAAAACAATTTGCCAAGTCTTCGTGCGACTTAGTTCGCTGTGGCAACCCCTGAAGAAGGGAGCAGCCGAAAAAATAAATAAATAAATGAAATAAGTATACAGATGACTTGCGGTCACCTGCAGCCAAACCTCGAGTAGAAAACCTGTAACTTTATAAAATGTTTTATCCATAATTGTTTATTGAAATACAATTAATGTGTTGTTCATCCATCCATTATCTTCCGCTTGTTCCGAAGTCGGGTCGTGAGGGCAGCAGCTTGAGCAGGGAGGTCCAGACATCTCTTTCCACAGCCACCTCTTCTAGCTCTTCTGGGGGGACCCCAAGGTGTTCGTCTCTCTGGTGTGTCCTGGGTCTTCCATGGGGTCTTCTCCCAGTCGGACATACCCGAAGTACCTCCCTAGGTGCCCATCCTTACAAGATGTCTGAACCACCTCAACTGGCTCCTCTTGATGTGGAGGAGCAGCAGTTCTAATCTGAGTCTCTCCCAGATAACTGAACTTCTCACTATATCTCTAAGGGAGAGTCCAGCTACCCTGTGGAGGAAACTTATTTAAACCACCTGTATCTGTGATCTCATTCTTTCGGTCTCTACACAAAGTTTGTGACCATGGGTGAGGGTAGGAATGTAGACCGACCGGTAAACAGAGAACTTTGCCTTATAGTTCCGTCTTTACCACAATGGACCGGCACAGTATCCGCAGTACAGCAGGCACTGCACCAATCCGTCTGTCAATCTCACGCTCCATTCTTCCCTCACTCGTGAGCAAAACCCTGAGATACTTGAACTCTTCCACTTGAGGTAGAACCTCACCCTCGTCCTGAAGAGAGCAATCCCCCTTTTTTGACTGAAGATCATGGCCTCAGATTTGGAGGTGCTGATTCTCATCCCAGCCGCTTCACACTCTGCTGCGAACTGCTCCAGTGAGAGCTGAACATCACGGCATGATGACACCAACAGGACCACATCATCTGCAAAGAGCAGAGATGGAATCCTGAGGCTACAGGACTGGACTCCCTCTGCCCCCTGGCTGCACTGAGATATTCTTTCCATCAAAGTTATGAACAAAATCTGTGACAACTGACAGTCCTAATGAAGTCCAACTCCCACCCTGAAGAGGTCCAACTTATTGCCGGTAATGCGAACCAAACTCTCACTCCACTTGTATAGGGACCGAATTGCCTGTAGCAACAGGCCCCCAATCCCATACTCATGGAACATCACCAACAGTGTACCCAGAGGAACACGTCGAATGCCCTCTCCAAGTCCACAAAGCACATCTAGACTGGATAGGCAAAACTCCTAGGACCCCTTGAGGACCCTAGTGAGGGCAATTACAATTGACCCCGATTGAGTAGCTCATAGGATCATTCAAGCACACAGGCGCCTCCACCACGATAAGGTGGCAATTCAAGGAGCAATTCTATTGATGTGTTATGCTTGAGCATTTTGAGATTCATTCATATTTCGCCTGTTTTTATTTTAGTGGTTTAATTAAACACATAAATAAAAAGGACTTTTGTACATAATTCAAAGTGGTAGCAATCTTCTCGTTTCAATTTGTCACCAAAGTGGTTTAAAATATCCTGTAAATGGGCTTTTAAAGGAAACCTTAAAGATTTTCATTTTTTCTCTTTCTCTCTCTTATCAGTGAACAGACATGCTGGTTTCAGAGCTGCTCTTCAACACTCTGGAGGATGTGACGAAAGATGACTTTGAAACATTTAAGTGGTACCTGACCCAGAATGTCCTTGAGGATTGCCGACCAATTCCCAAGTCTCGTGTAGAGAATGCAAGCCGGGCAATTACTGTGACAAAGATGATAGAGAGCTACAATGAAGACTTGGCAGTGAAAGTCACTGTTGAGATCCTAAGGAAACAGTGCCTCAATTCCTTGGCAGATAAATTAGAGAACATACGTGGAGGTGAAGTCTTTTAGACTTGCCTGTAACTATAAATCTGTCTTTTGTTGGGTTTTCTGTTAATTGTCTTTGCATCTACAGAAAAAGAAACTCCTGCATCCTCCAGCAGCAGTACCTCTGCTGTGACGCCTCCAACAGCTGTTGCTGCTACTGCAATGTCGGCTCAGGGGGGCAGTGTGATCATCGCTCCCACCCTCAACAGTGGCACCACCGGATCATGGAACATAACCATCCATAAACCATAATCAAACTCATTTTAACTCAGGAAAAATGGTTTAAAAAAAGATCAGCACATGTTGAGATAACTTTAGTCATTTGTGTTAGTTTTACATAAAATTAGTGAAGGTTTTTTGTGTTTGTACTCGTTTGAGACATTCACCTCTATAAATTACTGTAAGAAAATTCTACTCAAATGCAGCTGTTTTCTCTGGGTTTAAGTTCTTATTAACCTTTTACTTTATATATATTACATAAATGTTTTATTGTATTAGCAGTCCACAGGCATTTTCTACTATTTCTGAGCTGTACAGAATATCTACAGTTATAAAAAAACCATACAGTGTGCAAGTCTATTAAGAAAAGTATAGAGATGCAGTGCGGGAACTGTATTTGGGGAAATGTATATTTGTTTTTGTCCCACAATCAACTTAGTCTTTGAGTTACAAAAGAAATACTGTTCTACTTTGGTTTACTTTGCTTTCACACCTGGTGGGTCAAAACCCAAAAGTGATGTTGCAGACCTGTTTTTACTGCCTGGGCAAAATAATAATATTAAAAACGTTAAGAAATGAAAATCAACATTCTGATTGTTATCTCAGTTTTACAGTTAATGCTTGAGTAAATGACTGAATATCTTTTACAACATATTGTTAGGCGTATGTGGAAAAAAAAATCTAAATTTCACTTTCAATTAGGAAAAGTTTGAAATGAGCTGATTTTAAATAAAAGAATGTGTCAGAGCTGAATATTTGCTTCTCCTTTAGTTTTACAAGATAATACATCTGCAGTTATAAAATATGTGACATTGCTACATACGGCACATCACTGTTATCAACCAAAACAGGCATTTTCATCTTTTAGGTACTTAATTTTAAATTATAAATTAAAATAAATCAATCATTGGAGACACGTCAACCGTGAAATAGTTTTCACGTGACTGAAAACTACCCATTGACCTTTTTACAGCTCCTACTACGCATGCTCAGTTGATCCAACGTGGAGTGTCACGCTGACGTCAACGTAGCAGATGAACCACGTGATCAAACTGGACATTTTTCACAACGCGTAGACTAAAGTCCATTGAGCTTAAAATAAAAGTGAGAAAAAATTAATATTTTTTTAATAAAGCGCTTGTATAACTATTATTTCTTCTTACGCGGCATATTTATCTTTAGATTTGAATGGGAATGAAAACCCACTCTTGTTTTTCACCGGATGACGTTTGTGTCTGCACCTTACGCTCCTGAGCCAAACCAGGAAGTGAAATTCTGCCGTCGTCTACAAGCTAGCTGTTATTTTACGCGATGAAAGCACGCATAAAGAAAACTATTTAACATATATAGTTCTAATTTAACAATTATCGACGTTATTCATATGTCTACATATTTATTTTTAAGATAAACGTCACTGTACTTGGCCTCGGGGGCCGTAAAATACTGCTAGCCAGCTTGTTGATTAGCTATCTGGAAGGATTGTCAGTCGCTAATACCAGTTAGTTTCCGTTAGCAGTTAGGTAGTGATGGCTGTGGCACAATTAAAATGCTTTCTTGCCGGAGCTTCTTTTTTATTGCTGCTGTCAGGCGGCGACGCAAGGATACACAAGCTCACCCTGAAGGTAAGTTAACGGGACGGTTGTGCCAGCCAGCTAGCCGCAAACGTGTCATTAAAGAAAGCGATAGCCGCTTGTTGAGGTCTGACCAGTTCGCGCTTATCAGATTATTTCTTTTTTTTTTTTTCCAGAATGAAACACGGTTTGCTGTGGACCTTAACAACTTTGGTTTCTACACCAACGGGACTTTAGACGTGAACTTGTCTGCTTTGTCGATCAAAGATGTTGTGAACTACACAACGTATCCAGTAAGTTGTGTTTATGTACTTGCATCTGAGGAGAGTCCCATACAAAAGTATACATCTTTATTGTGTACTTTCTATATGACTAATTACATTTAAAATGAGAAATGCACAATAAATGGAGCTTAAATAAAACCTACTAAAGCCTACTCTTTTGGTTTTACTTTAATGTATTCATTGTTTTCATACACTTGCTGCCGTTTTGAGATTTCAAAATTGTGCAGTGTTCAAGAGTGCAGTTTTTATGTTTTGGGGGTAGAGTTTTCACCTTTGTTGTCACAGTTCATTTCACACAGACTGACCCTTCCTGGACCCTCTCTGCTGATGCCATTTCAGCATTCGTGATTTAATCCAGAGATGATGCAAACTCTATATGGACAATAGTATTTGGCCATGCCTGTTATTCATTGAATTCAAGTTTTCAGTCAAGGTTTGATTTTGTCCACTTGTCTTCAGTGATGCTAATCTCTGGTGGTGGGAGATACTAGCATACCAAACATGGCAAGGATTTTACCATGATGTCTTTTCTAACTTTTGAGAAAACACTTTGGTGGAAGCCCTTCTCTATTCCAGGACATCCTTGTAAAAGAGATTGATGATCTCAATGGATTTCTTTCTAGTAAACTAAAGGTATAAACTTTTTTTTTTATTCCAACATGACTGTTCCAGTGCACAAGCAAGAGCCACGAAGACATGGTTTGTGGAAGAAATCGACCAGTCGGCACACAGCCCTGTGCTCATCGCCATCTGGCCCAGACCATGTCCAATATCAGTTCTTGACTTTGTGTTATAAATGTTCTACAACGGGGGTGCCCACACTTTTTCAGCATGCGAGCTACTTTTAAAATGTCCCAGTCAAAGCGATCTACTATAATGCCCCGTTTACATGAGAACAACTTCTTGAAATGTTAGTGTTTTTCAAGAGGATAATAAACAAAAAAATTAGCAGGTTTACCAAAAAAAAATGCCAGTTTCCATGTCAGGCGGGTTGCCAGATAAGAAATTATGAACTAGAATACTGTCACTTTAAAGTGATAGTATTTTGACGTATCACATGTGCTGAGTAAAGCAACTATTCTAAGATGAGGTGTATGTTGTGTTTGTTGAACATGCACAGCAAAGGAGGGGGTAAATAAGACATTTTAAATTTATCTGGCAACGGCCGAACTGCAGCAGAAAGGCTGTGGTTTTACATCGTGTAAACAGGGCCTCAGACTTGCTGCCCTGTATGTCATTCATTCAACCTTTATTTAGACAGGTAAATCCCATTGAGCCTCAAGGACTCGTTTACAAGAGAGACCTGATTTCAACAAAGAATGATGACAACAATGGACAACAGTGACAACAATAAACAGTTATAAAAAGTCATACTACAGTTCGGTGGTTGTTGTTTTTTTTGTTTTTTTTTTAACAAATAGGATGACTAAAAGAAAAAGGTAACAAAAAAACAGCTAGATTCTAAGGCGAATGTAGAAACTAAAAACAGGAACATGTCTGCATTGGTCCCTGCCAGGAGTCCAACAGATTCTTAAAGCCACTTAGAGAGGTCAAGGTCGAGAGCTTCAATTGTTTTTGTAAGGTATTCCAAAAAACAGGAGCGGAATAGGAGAAGGCCCTTTTCCCTAGTTCAGTCCTCATTGAGGGAACACTGCAGGTAAAAATGTCCTGAGAGCGCACTCCGTAGCTGCACTCACGCAGAGACATGTAGGAGGAGATGTATGAAGGCAGCAGACCAAGAAGTGATTTAAAGATGAAAATGTACCAGTGAGAGAGTCTGCGTGAAGTTAATGATGTCCATTTAACCAGTGACTACAGGGTGCAGTGGTGGGTACGATAATCACAGCCAGTTATGAATCTTAGTGCACCATGATAGACAGCATCCAACATCTGCAGGGTTCTTGTAGGAGCGTTCATGTAAATAATGTCACCGTAATCAATGGAGGGAAGGAAAGTCACAGATACAAGGTGTTTCCTAGCATTCAGGGTTAGACAGGATTTGTTTCTGAAAAAGAAACCCAGTTTAACTTTCAGTTTCTTTATCAAGTTTTCCACATGGAGCTTAAAAGAGACATGTGAGTTGACCAAGATACCCAAATATTTATAGGAATCAACAAACTCAATGGGGACACCATTTGAGGATGAGATCAGAGGAAGAACTGCTGGGACCAACTTCCTATTTGAAAAAAGCATCCCTTTGGTTTTGTCGGCATTTAGGACAAGTTTGAGGCGGAATAAATCTGTCTGGATGTAGTTAAATGCAGATTTCAAAAGCTGGAAAGCCTTAGCAACAGTTTTAGCTCGACACAAGATGTTCTGATCCACAGTGTCAAAAGCTTTAGACAGGTCTAAGAAAAGTGCAGCACAATAATCTTTAGCATCCAGTGCTTCAACAACGTCATTAAGAACCTTCAGTGAAGCAGTGGTTGTGCTGTGTTGTTTCCTGAAACCTGATTGATGTGGAGGTAAGATGTTAAATGAGTCCAGGTAATTTTTGATTTGAGAGTTTATCAGTTTTTCTAGAACCTTGGCTAAAATGCAGAGTTTAGAGATTGGTCGATAGTTGTTCAGTGAGGTGGGGGTCACCTCCCTTCAGCAAAGGAAGAACAAAGGCTGTTTTCCAAGTGTCTGGGATGGAGTTTTGTCTTATGGAGAGATTGAAGATGTGGGTCACAGGGACTGTGATGATATGAGCGGCCAGCCTTAAGAAATAAGGTGGAAGTTCATCTGGACCTGCAGATTTTTTAGGATCAAGATCTTTTAACAGTTTATTGACCTCACTGACTGAGAATGGAGAAAAAGAGAAGCTGTGATTAACTGAGGATTGACTTGTAGGAGGGATTTGATTTGTAGAAGTTTGGTTATTAAGTGAAGTGGCTGATTTTCCATTAGTTACTGTGACAAATTTCATTGTGAGGATGGATGATAAGCTGACGTCTATTTTTTCTTTTTTTCTTTTTTTTTTTCTTACGCCATGCGATCTGCACATACTACCTTTGCAATCGACCGGTAGATTGTAATCGACATATTGGGCACCCCGGCTCTACAGAATAAATGGGTGCAAAGTCACACAGGAACAATTCAAAATATTTTGTTAAGCCTTCCAAGAAGAGTGGAAGCTGTCATCTGCAAAAGAAAGGCTGACTACTTGTAGTTCCTGTTTGTGTTATGATCAGGTGTGGCCAAATACATTTGTTCATAGAGTATGAGCCGTTTAGTCTTGTATTCAGTTGTTGGTGTGTTGTGACTTTAAACTCACTGTGACCATTTCTGTTTTGTTTAGGTTGGTTTTAGCTTGTCCAGGTCACGTGTTAATGGTGTGTTGTCCTACACTGTAAGTATATTTCATTAAACAATACAAAGTGTTTTTGGCTTTAATAAACTTGTTTTGTTAATACACTTTCTAGCAAAACATTTACTATAAAATATGTTTTATAATACATCTGATACTTTATACTCCTTGGTGAGATTCTGGTTGTACAACAAATATTTTAATATTTTCACATGTGATGGTTTGACTTTGCGTTTGATATTTGAAGGCGGAGGAGACCGACACGTGCCCACTCATAATGCAGAAGTCTAACAACAACGAACACGATGAGCCTCTCATTCTTTTTCTTATTGATGTCACTAACCTAAGGTGTGTGTATTTCAGTTTCAGTATGTTTTTGTATTTTTGGAGATGTCTTTGCAACCTTTTGTGGAGGTTGACTATCGTTTGTATTTGTGTAGTGTCAATGTGAAGACGAGGGGCGTCCAAGACAATATCTTGATTGCAAATGTGAAGGAAGATGCAAACAAAGGTTAGTATTGTTCACACTTTACACTGTCTCTTGAATATTTTCAGTAGAACAAATAATGTAATTGTTAAACAGACTGAACCTAAGTTTGGTGTTTCTTTTTCTTGTACTTGCTTTGGTGTTTTTCAGTTCAGAGGAAAGCTAGAGACACCTCTGCTAATAATGATGCGAATAAGCACAACGGAGTTGAAAACAAAGCACTGGCTGTGGGACAGAAGACAGGAACTCAGACAGAAGTAAAGAACACCCAAGCTACTGAACCTAAGAAAGAGAAGGGAAAAGAATATCATGTAAGCTGTTTTTGTGTATCTGTATATTTGAGTGATTTGCTCTTTAAAGCTAACTATATTTTCTTATAGCTGGACGAGGATACCAAGCTGACTTTAGCTCTGGGCAAAACAAACAGCTTCTACAACTTCAGTGTAAGTGCACTGTTCTCATTCAGTAGATTTGATGCTAAAACATGTGGTTGGCTGTCTGTAAAACATTTAGTTTTTCTTCCACAGTTCCGAGTGGTTTTTGGCTTCAAGGCACAGGGTCTATACAGTCTCAAGTTCCACTACTGTCAGAACAGGGTGCCTGGATTTAAACTGCCTTACTCGTTCACGGTGAGTAGAGTGCCTTTGTCTCTGTACAGGAATCCTCCGGCTTTTGCACACATTTATTTGAGTATATCCACTAGGCTGAAGTGACAGAGAAGAATCCAGAAGGGTACCTGTCTGCAGCAGAAATTCCATTGTCTCGCCTTTACATATGCATGGCAGGAGTCTTCTTCGCCGCTGCCATGGTCTGGGTGTACACGCTCATGAAGCACAGGTACATGTCATCACTTTTTAGAGTTTGTAGTAGAAATATTTGCCGAGTTGCATTTTGTATGTCTAGGTTGTTAAAACACCCATATATGTTCACAAAACAAATGTTCTGTGTAATTTGAGCTTCTTGCTGCAAACTCAATTTGTAGAATGCTTCGCGTTTATTATATAAATCTTTTAGTAAAAATATTAAGGTGCTAACCGTTAGCAAGTTTTTAAACTCCAACACTCGTCATTTTTTCATATTACCGGTACATGTCCATTGAAATATTGAGATCGCTTATGACTAACATTGGAAAGTAATGCAAATTGGTTAAAAAATATAGTTTTTGTGAGATTGTAAGCTATTTCTGTTGTAGCTTTGGAAACAGTCTCTTCCATATTTGGGGTGTGATGTCACGCCAGGGACTCAGATCTTGCAAGAGCGCTAGATTTCTTTTGCACAAGGTTATGGTCAATTGTTTCCTTGTAGTTTCTGGCAAAAATATCTGTGGCAAATACAACATGCAGAATCGATGTGTTGCACATTTCTTGGGAAAACAGCCAAGGAGGGCGTTAGCACTCGTTCTTTCCCAAAAATCAAGGAAATTTGCAAGAAATGGGAAACGTTTGTCAAAGTCAAATGGGCAGACTTGAAAGTACCATTGCCGAACACCGTTCTGTGTTTCAAATACTTTTAATCCAAGGATTGTGAGTCTACAATCAACAGTGGTGAATGGATTTGGATTTTTGGAAAGTTTTAACACCAAACTGAGGAAAGAAGCTGTGATAACTGTTCAGGCAGGAAACCTGAAGTTTTGCAGGTACATTATTTTTGTCAGAAGCACAGACTTCAACTATAGACCAGTTTTAAAGTTTTGTTGGTAGAAAACCAGAGTTATGATAAAAAATTCATGCCACATCTTTTTTTTGAAAATGATCGTCATAGTTCAAGTGCACTTGAAGGTGCACTTTGCAGCAGCAAAGAAAACACACCTATACCCCCTTCACCATCACCCACCACCCTCACCAAACAACACCCACCTCCTTTTTGACTGAGGCCCAAAGTTATTTGTGAAGAGCGAAACAATCTTGAAGAAGAAAAAGAAAAGCATGCAGAAGGTGAAAGATGTTAGGCAGGCAATAGAGATAAAGCGAGAGTGGGAGTGAATAATGTGATTTGTGAGATTTAGCATGTTTGAATTTAATAGTTGTAGTGTGTTTAGTCATTTTTAGCGTGTTTGAGTTAAAACAATGAGACAGTTTTTTTAAATGTGAAGCTGTGTGAAGTGGGGGATGGAGGCTCAGACCTAGAAATGGACGATGCCGTGGAGTCAGATCCTTCTCTGACAGAAGAGGTAGAAATGAAAATGAAAAACCGTGTCTGAGAGACCGAGTGAGGACTTTGAAGAGGAAGAGCGCACTAAGCACCACACTGAGGTCTGCACAGAGGAGAGGACAGCGTGGCACGTTCACCAGGTCCAGAATGCCTCTTGCTGGGCCAACAGAACCATGCATCAATTTTGAGCTCTGGAGAACTAAGTAGGATGTTGATGTCTATTGTAATCACTAGCACATATCAGCCAGGTGTTTTCAAGATGGTAAGGTCCTTTCTGTACCGGTGAGTCTTCTCGTGTAGTTGCCTCTTCTTGCCGTGGTGGTGACTTGGACATGAACGGAATCGTCCTTGTTGAGCAAGAATTTTTCACGAAGCAGCAAGTCATCATCAACATCTTCTAAGGGTGCATTCACACCAGCCCTGTTTAGTCTGCTTTCATCAAATTCTAGTCTCTTTGCCTAAAAAGTCTGGTTCGTTTGGGGAGGTGTGAATGCACAATCGAACTCTGATGCGGACCCAAAAAAGAGAACTCTGGTCTGCCTAAGGTTGTTTTCACACCTGATAGTCCGGTAGACTCGGTTCGGTTGGGGACCAATATAACATTTTGTTTACACTTGAGCTGTTGCGTTTGCATTCACACTGCACTGTGCAGTGGAGCCAACCTGTTGAACCAACCTGTTCCCCCGCTCGCCTGTGGGGGCGCTGCACCAAGAACTACTGAAAGAAACAACACAAAAATCTATGAAGACGCTTCTTCTTCTGGAAATAAAAACAAAAAAGGAGTGGCATCCAGTTTTAGCAGTTTTAGAAGTTATATTTTGTAATTTTTCAAAAATGGACTCAGCATGAGTGGAAGATGAGGCAGAAGACCATGGAGAATGTTGTTTTTCACACAAGGCAGCTGACGGCTCCATATGAGGTAAGAGAAATGCACGCTTGTTTGCCCTGCGCTGTACTCCACTTCCTGCTTGCGGAGCGGTGCCCGGTCTGCTAACATTCACACTGTACTCGAACTGCACTCGAGTTTTTTTCTACCGGGCTGAGACCTAGGTTTTAGCCCGGGCCAGAGTCCGCCTTTGTGTTCCGTGACAGAGTTCGATGGCGCATTCACACCTCCCCAAACGAACTGGACTTCCTAGGAAATTGAGCTAGAGTTCGATTAAAGCGGACTAAACAGGGCTGGTGTGAATGCACCCTAAAAGCCTAGGTCTCAGTTCAGTTGAAGTGAAATCTAGCACGGATCGAATGCAGTGTGAATGCAAGCAGATCAGAAACTGCTCCAAAAGCAAGAAGTGGTCTACAGTGCAGGGCATTCTGTGTAAATACAACCAAAACAAACTCGCATTTCTCTTACCTCATACGGAGCCGTCTCAGCTGCCTTGTGTGAAAAACAACATTCTCCATGGTCTTCTACCTCATCCTCCGCTCATGCTGAGTCCATTGTGGAAAAATGTTTGTTTGGCACACGAGCCACAAACTAAACAGAAATCCTAAAACTACTACAGTTTGACGCCACTCACTTTTGTTTTTATTTCCAGAAGTAAAGTTGCACTCAGTGTCTTCTTCAGAGGTTTTCCTGTCGTTTCCTTCAGTAGTTCTTGGTGCAGCGCCACCACAGGCGAGGGGGGGAACAGGTTGGCCCAACTGACTCAGTGCAGTGTGAATGCGAACCGCACCAGCTGAAAATGTAAACAAATGTTCTGAATTTTGGTCCCCAAACAAACAGAGTCTACCGGACTATCAGGTGTGAAAACGACCTAAATCTCATGAACTTTCTCCACTGAAATCGTCGTCACTAGCACACACCTTCATCTGGAATACACATGCCTGTGCCTGGTCCCTGGTGTGACATCATCAACCTTTGGTAATCATCCGTTGTGTACTCGGGTGTTTCAGGGACTGATTTGTTAAGTTTTGTTTTAACCCATGCGTGGCCCAAATGCAAAAAAATGCATAACCACTGTATTCTATGACAGTGGTTACCCCGTAAGAGCGCTTGGGACTTTAATGGTGGGTGTCGGACTTTAAATTTAGAAAAAGTTGCAGTCTGTTACACCCCCATCAGCAGGTAGGACTCATTATGTAAAAACATGTGTTAATTACCATTCATCTGGATGAGCAGTGTTTGTTCAAGACCCCAGAAAATAATCACTGCTGGTAAAACATAGTAATTAACTTGAGTTATACTAATGGGCTTAAAATCCACATTGTGAGCTTGATCAAAATAACACAATGGGTTTGTCAGACGCTTACCTTCATCTACAATGCTTACTATGTAGGTATGAAATAATTCATATTTAACTTTGAATTTATAATAAGCTTGATATTGGATTTAAAAAAAGGCTTGCTGTGTTGAATGTAAATGAAAGATGAATATCTGGATTTTAATGCCATCCTGTAACATGAAATTAGTTTTTACTCATTTCCTGTTTTTCCAGACTTTTGTTTTCTAAAAGATTAACATAGATTTTTTTTTTTTTTGTTCAAGTACTGGTACAAAATCACCAGTTGAACTCAAAATGTAGCATTCATTACTGTGAGTGACTTTTAAGTCAGGCATATCTTCTGAAACTGCACATATTCACATATTTAAAATGTTTTACAAAACAACAACATTGAAAAATTAGTTGTCCACCCCTCAAATATCTGTTGTTGGAAATGTGGACGACGCTAAACAATCTCAGCATCACAAGTTGGGGGAAAAAACATAACAAGATTAGGGGTTTTCCCCCTCAAATTATATTCTGTCTTACTTTTGCAACCAGAACTATTTATTTACAATAATGCTTCTTTCAAACCCTTTATCTTTTTACTGATCTGTGGTTTGACCAGCTACCAGAGTATGGGTCAAAGTGAATTAGGGATAGTTTTGAAAGAATGACTCTATAATGAAACATAACTAAATATCATAACAAACTTATCTAGATGTCACAAAACTTTTACTGTTAAACATTATAGATTTGAGCTACAGTCTGTTTCTCCTTAGTAAACAGTAATACTTTATTTCTCTTTGAGCAGCGGTTTTGGTACATCTTTGTGCTGCCTGTTTTACAAATAGAAATGCACTGTGTGCATTAGTTTTAAGTTGTGTGAAGTTGTCTTTTTTTGGCACATATTTGGGGAACATAATATGTCATAACAAAAGTTATGCGTTCACCATAAAATTTCCTAACCAGTTATTTAACATCTAAACCAGAGGTGCCCACACTTTTTCAGCATGCGAGCTACTTTTAAAATGACCAAGTCAAAGTGATCTACCTACTATAAAATTACAAAGCATATACTTATTTATAAACATATGAAGTATTCTTTATTTGTGCAGTATATGTTGATGTACCTTGCATAACTGCATGAACCTATTGCACAATACAGCTCTGTACATTTTTTGTCATTACCATACTCTGATGACTTGCACTGAAGGGAGTCAGCCAGAGATGCAAAGTCCAGACAGTAGCTGCTGATAGCCACACTTCCAAATGATCATCAGCCATAGTGGAACGGTGTTTGGACTTAATAATCTTCATGTGGGAAAAGGCTGACTCGCATAAATAAGTGGAGCCAAATAATGCAGTCAAGGAGGTAACACATTTCCTCATGTTGGGGTACTTTTCCTCTGAGTAAATTCCAGAACAGTCCATGAGCCCTGGCCTTTAGCTGAATGTCAGATTGTAGTGTCAAAATCTCATCCTCCGCTCCAGAAAAGTTTAGGTGGAACAGGGTTTCCATATTTGATGCCAGTGAAGCAACGTCAGCATCTTCCTGAAGCACATGAATGTAGTGACTGGCTGCAGTAAAACAAGTCTTGAAAGTGTTTGTCAAACTGACAGTTCTCATTCTGCTTTGTGTAGCGTGCACCGCCAAGTTGCACACACACCTTCCGTTGCGTCTCCAGCTCTGACACAAGGTTCTTGGAAGTTTTGCAAATCATGATGCTGCAGCTTTAAGGAGAGATGTTGCACTCATCAATCATCTCAATCACAGTTTTCTTTTCCTTGCAGCTCTACATTAAGGTCATTCAACATGTTGGTCAGATTGGTTAAAAATGCTAACTTAGAGACTAGCTACGTGTCTCGGTAGCTTGCTAGTTTTTTGTGCAGTTGTATGTGCAGGCGTGGTGACCCATGTGTCAGAAAAGGTCAGGTCTCAGGTTGGCTGCCCTGTATGTCAATCAAGTGACAGATTTCATAGTGAGGATGGATGACTTTTTTTTTAAATTTTATTTATTTTTTTATGCCATGCGATCTACTCATATTACCTTCTTAAGAAGTGTTGGGCACCCCTGATCTACACTGAATGTTTGTGTTTGGATGTCAAATGTTTAAAAATTAATAAAGCAAGTAATCTGCAAGTCTGAGTCTGCAAAAAAAAATCAAATAGAAGTTGCATAGAAATTGTTTAGCATGCTTTCAAAAGTTGCTATTTGAAACTTTTCACATCAATATGGATTCCAACATAATACGTTTCTCATTGTGTGCTTGTTTACAGGCACAGTGTGTTCAAGATCCACTGGCTGATGACTGCACTGGCGTTCACCAAGTCTACATCATTAGTTTTCCACAGTGTAAGAGCACCATCATCATCTCATTGTCTTATCACTAAATTAGGCTTTTTCTGTTTTAACTAGTAGTTTCATGGGACTGTACTGTTTTTCCTCAGATCAACTATCACTTTATCAACACCAAGGGGCATCCCATTGAAGGCTTGGCCGTCATGTATTATATAACACACCTGTAAGTAACTTTGCAGGATATGCTGTATAAGTTGTGTTGGTGTTTTATGTTCTATATTCATGTTCTTATATTTATCAGGCTTAAAGGAGCTCTGCTGTTCATCACGTTGGCACTAATCGGCACCGGCTGGGCGTTTGTCAAATACATTTTATCAGACAAAGAGAAGAAGATTTTCATGATAGTTATTCCTCTGCAGGTACTTGCACATGTTGGTGAAACGTCAGGTGGAAGATGTTTATGTGTTTATATTGTTACCGAGGTGACTCACTCAGCTGTTATCCTTCAGGTCCTGGCTAATGTTGCCTACATCATCATCGAGTCTACAGAGGAAGGCTCCAGCGAGTACTATCTGTGGAAGGAGATCCTCTTTCTGGTCGACCTTATCTGCTGCGGAGCCATCCTGTTCCCTGTTGTCTGGTCAGTGTGTGCATGCAGTCTTGCATTTTTAAAAGTCAACTAGAGAAATTGCATTTGCTGAGACGGGATGGACGGAGAAAAGTCCTGAGCTGCACAGCGTGCTGTTCATACCGACACTTTTTTAGAGTGGGGAAATGTGTGTGTTTGGGGCTCTTTTATCCTTTTTATTATACAATTGTCAACCATTCTTGTCTTTACAGGTCAATTCGTCACCTACAGGAGGCTTCTAGCACAGATGGCAAAGGTGATACGGTTTTCTTCAAAGCTTTACTCACTTTTACTGTTGTTTGTTTACTGACTGTGTCTCGTGTGTGTTTCAGCCGCCATGAATCTGGAGAAGCTCAAGCTCTTCCGACATTATTATGTGATGGTGAGAAAGAACTCATCTGTCTGTCCATCACCATCCACTAACTGCAAGATCTGACTGGTTTTTACTTTAAATGAATAAGCAAATATTTTTAGAGTAACATTTTTCTAAAATGCTGTTAAAGGTTTAGCTTATTTTCTTTTGATATTTATAAGCAAACATTTTTTTAATGGGAATATCTTATAATAGATCAGAAACCACATTATAGGAAGAATTTTTGTTCACCTTTACTAACTTGTGTTAATTGTCTTTCTGTGTAGATTGTGTGTTACATCTACTTCACAAGGATCATAGCCATTTTGCTGAAGATCACCATGCCTTTTCAGTGGCAGTGGTGCTATGAGGTGAGCCAGCCCTGGTGTATGCTAACAGTCTGACTTTACTGCAGGGCTCTTGTTTGGAGAAGGTCAAAGACATTCAGGAGCTCACTCTAAGTCAGTAGGCCTGTCGCAATATACAATAAATCAATTAATCGCATGATAAATGAAAGTTATCAACCTCATTTTCATCTATCGGCTTTATAGTTTCTTTGTGTCTCTCTTTCTACTGAAGACACTGGATGACAAAAGACTCAACTTTGGTGCTTTTCACAGACCCCTCCCTTTCTCTTTTCTCTTTAAAATCTGTTTAACCGTCCAAAATCACGTTTTTGGATCGTTGAAAACAACCAAGCTGAGAAGCTAAGCTATAAGTTAAACTAACAGGCCGACCTTGAGGGTGGGTGGAGGAACCTACGTCTTGTCGAAGCTCCAAAAATTCACAGTTAAAGCCCGTGCTTTTGTCTAAAAAGTTGTTTTTCTCTGCAAAAAGAGGCTGAGAACTTCTTTACTGATGTTTTTAATTAAAAACTTTGTGTGAAAAATGCTATGCTATCGAGCTCAAACCACACCGAACGTCCGCCATTTTGAGAACTGAAAAACAGGAACGATAGACAGCCCATGTCACATCAAGGGGCCTCCCTCCCATTTTTCTTAGAGACACGCTGCTCCATCATTTAGTTCAGTCTTATACTGCTATTCAGTGGTCAAAAACGGTACTACACTCAAACATTAACCAACATTTCTTCTTAAATTTGACAGTTACTAATTATTGTCGAATATTAAACAATATTGTCGTTTATCGCGGTAATTTCTGAGACAATTAATTGCCAAGCAAAATTTGTTATTGTGACAGGCCTACGAGTCAGCAATGACGAGGTGTTCAGTCTCAATGTACGCTAGTTTAATGCTTGTGTAGAGACCACTCATTTAAAGCCTACTGTTGTATTTCATATAGTTCGTGATATTGTTGATTCATATATTGGACTGTGTTTCAACTTTTATTGGTCTGATACCAGTAATCCTAAATTACTTTAGTCAGAAACAAGCTAACAACAAAAACCTGAGCACTTTTTAAACGAGTTTAATAATAAACATACAACTGTAAACAGTTGATCTGTGTTTTTGATGCTCACTTTAATCTCGTTTGTGTTTTTAAATGTACAAACCTTTCTGTTTCTACAGTTACTGGTAGAAGTGTCCACTTTGATCTTTTTCGTGTTGACGGGTTACAAGTTCCAACCAGCATCCAATAACCCATACCTCCAGCTCCCCCAGGATGAAGAGGATGTGGAGATGGACGAAGTGTAAGCGTACACACACAGATCACCTTTAAAGGCTTTTAAACTGGAACATGTGTTCATGCAGAACTGTCTCATTCAGGGGAGCACGCTCATGTATTCACCTTTTGCTAAGTGCCACAACAGATGAGTAGATGAAGTGCTTCCTCTTCACACAGGAAGTGGTGCATACAACGTGTTATGATTAGATGCATCATAGTGCCATCCTCCACAGACGACATGCACCATGCAAAGCTGTGCTCCGTGCAGCACATTACGTCCAGCAGTGTGCAGCACTTTGTACACATTTTGTTTGACATATGACCAATAGGACATGTAACCGTTTCAATTGGATGAATAAGACAATACACTGATTTATGTTTTATATTTTATAGGGAAGTTACCAGTTGACAAATCCTACCTTACAGTACTGCATCTGACTTGCTACTTTTGAGTTTTTCTACTAGCAAGGTCTCTGTTTCTGTGGGAGTTATTGCTTGTTTAGAAACAAACACACAAAAAAACAACAACAAACAAAAAAAAAATCATTTTTATATTCTTTTACATTTTTTGTACCAAACCATGACCCCCTTACCCAAAGTACGTACTAAACTGTGACTTCAGCATGTTCTTACACCCCTACTTTAAATACATTTAAAGGAATAGTTCCAATTTTTGTGAGTGGTGTTCTTTGAAGTTATATAAGGATTGTCAGCGTGGAGTATCAGGCAGAAAAAAAGAATGTTTTAACTTGGGGAAAGTTTTGCTGATGAGAACGAAAATAAATAATAAATGTCATTAATTTGTTACGATCAGGTTCTCCCAGGGAAGGAGCAGGACTATTTTAACAGCATGTTCTGTCTTTAAGCATCTCCAGTCTAAAATGTCCCAGCAGTTCATATCATGTCTGATTTATTACCCTTTAAGCCTCCAAAGATTAAGTTGTCAGCATACCATTGCCAGTAATAGTTCATGTGAAGCTTATGTCACAAAACAAAGACTTAAGGCCAGGTTGTTGGAGAAACTATTTGACATTTGGAGGAGACCTAAACGTCTTATATAATTTATATAGTCAGATGTTCCCCAAACCCTCATTTCACAGACGGTGTTGTGTTGACGTCTGTTCCCCTGTTAAAGCTGCTCTTCACCCATCTAATATTTCCACCTCAGATCAGGTAATCCAGTTCAGGTAAAAGACTAACATGGTTCCTCTGTTTGTTTTTTGTTTGTTTTGTATCTAGAGTGACAGAGTCCGGTGCACTGGAGGGTATTTCCAAAGTCAAGAAGACTTCTAACGGACGCGAGCGCCAGAAAGAGCCCGCCTTGTAAGCAGAAAGCTGCTTGTTTGGGAGGGACCAACTAAAAGCCCCTCAGGCCACATGGTGTTTGGGGTACATATGGACCAAGACTCCCCACTTCCACTGACAGTTCTCTGTTTGAAACTTTAGGTGGCTGCAAAGGTCATGCCCACTGTCTGGCTATGCAAAAAAAAAAAAATGGTTACCATAATAAGACTTAACATGATGGACACGCTCCGATTCTTTGGACACTCCACTCAGAAACGAGGTTTCTGTCACTAGTGGAGATGCAGAAAAAGGAGCTCTGTTGGTGTTTATCCTTTTTCCCTCATTTTTTTTTTCTCCAAAGATAATTATTTTAGCAACAGACTTGCTTTTGAGTGTGTTTACGTCAGCTATTTAAAGTGGTACTTTTGTGTGAATCTTGGCTAATTTACGTGTGATGTGAGAACACGAGTGAATGTGAGATAAAACTAATTTGAACTCGACACGTTTTTTTTTTTTTTTTTTTGAAGTAAATAGCTCATACTCAGGTCTTATCAGTGTATGTAAACATATAAGCAGCAACAGTCTCTTTTCCACTATTTAAGGCTAATAATTTTCCACCTGTCATAACATTTAACACAAATACATGGACTTTTCTTTCCCCACAGATTTGTATATTGAAATGTATGGACATGGGATGCTGTATATTTTAATAATTACCTTGAAGTGTCTGTTTTTTCGAGTATCATTGTTGATGGTAGAGAGGTGATCTGTTGTTTGGACTGCAGCTGTAATTTAGTGCTTTAGTGTTGCTTCTCTGTGAATCAATGGTGGCACAAGAAAATGTTTGGATGAACAAAATATTCAAATCAGGTTCTAAAAATCCCCAGAGCAACAAACCTATTTAAATGTTTTTTTTTTGTTTGTTTTTTTTTCTGGTTGTGCCAATCTGGACAGAGAAGTGACTTCCCGGTTTTTTTTTTTTAACTTTGCCGTTTCTGCTTTTACCTTTTTGCTCTCTATGTGAAGCTTCTTTCATTAATTATTAATAACTATTTTTTTTTCTTTGAAGGATTAGCAGCACATGCAGCCAGGAAGTGTAGATGATCATTTGATGGCAATTCTTTGTAAATAGAAATTGTTCAAAAAGAGGCGCGTAACATTTTATAAATTCCAGTAGTGTTTCAGATGGTTCAGTTTTTGATTCTCCTTAAGCGATTCAGGTAAGGGAATAAAGCAATGCTACTGAGATTTGACCAGAGTCACGTCTGTCCAGCGAGGACACCTCTGCACAATGTTCACACAGTTAACTCGTCTCCAGAGTAACTCTGAGGCGAAGACGCCGTTAACTGTACACATTTCCTGACGGTGGTTCAAGAAGGGTTTTTGCTCGTTATAGAAGGCTGTTTTGTTTGTATGAACTGTCACAATAAAGCTGAAGTTCTGGAAAGGTCTCAGATCACACTGTTGTGTGTACAAATACACTGTCTTCACCGTTTTTAGGCAAAATGTCCTCAGGATGAATTTTGTTAATTTTTTTTTTCAATCTGTTCAAAATGTTGTTAGACCTTAAAGGTGAATGTTTAACAAAAGTTATACATTTCTACAGTTTTGAGAATACGAAGTAGTTTTCATTTACCATGTGAAACAAAAAAATTAATTTGGGCCTTTCAATACTTTTTTTTTTTTTAATAGTCTTGTAATGATTCTAATTCTTGATGTAATGGAGTTGGTCAACTTTCTGATCTGCTAGTCAGAGGTGTTTTTTCTCTGCTCGCAGATTTTCACAAGATAATTTAAAGTTCTTTGATTTCAAAGAGAAAGATGTTTTCAATAAAAGATGGCAGTTTCAGCTGCTAAATTAGATAATAAAATATTAGCAGTTTTGTTACCATAGTGCTTTACAAAAAAAAAAAAAAAAGATTAGATAAATTTGATTGTGTGGATGTGAATCCCTACAATAAATGTTAAATGATTGGACATTGTTAAAACCTTTTACCGGTACACAGGAAAGTTTTGAGGCCAGGGTTAGAAGGTAAATGTAGATTTTATGTACCCGAGTGTAGTTGATGGTTCTAATAAATGACCTCAACTAATGAAGATAGCTGGTTATTTTTTGGGAGGTAACGAGGCACCATAAGTCCCAATCACCTGGAGGTTGCACAATTTGCAAATAAAACTGAAGGACTTCAGTGATTTAAATCGACATTTGAAGTGCTTTTACAGTCGATGCAAGTCTGCATTTGAGTCAGTAGTTGAAATTAATTCCCTACAATCAAAAGTGACTGACATGTTTGGTCTGATGTCTGAGCATCAAAATTTAAGTAACAAAACAAATCATGGCTGTAGTGTATAATTTTTCATTGTTGCTTGAGTGACAAGTTTGTGACCGAAAAGACTGATATACAGTATAGACCAAAAATATGGGGAATTTAAACGATCTGACTCATTGAATTTATAGATATGTTTGGCGGCTTTTGATTTAATTTCACAAAAATAGATTTGAAAAATTGATATTCTTTACAGTTGGGTGTTACCTACTTGAGAAATGGTTGAAAACTGTGTGATCTTGAAAAAGCTGATCAACCAGAATTGTAAAACAAAAGGGAGCCAAGGACTGATCCCAGAGGTGTGCCCAAACTTAAATGAACCACTGAAGACATTGTTAAAAGTTTTACTTTTTAAGATGTTCTAGCGAGGGAATTTTCCACAAGAACAAGCTACTTCAGCTCCACTCGTTCGCTTCATTTATATTGTCCTCAACATAGTTTACTGTTGCCCAAGTCCTTCAGACAAATCATATAAAGGAAAACGATTGAGTCCTTATCATTCCCTTTATATGCACAGTACTAGCAGCAGATTTTTTTAAAGTCTTTTCTTGAATGAGTACATATCTCCTACCACCTTGCCTGCAAATGTTTCAAACAATGAGAATCTTACATGATCTGTTCTCTTTTGGAGTTTGTGTTAGCAATGACTCACAGCTTCTACGTCACATTTATGTCAAATCGACTGAGTTACAGCCGGTTTGGGATTGCTAAGGTTGATTGGTGGTCATTTTGAAATCGTGTTGACTCCAAAGGTTCAACTGGAGATGTAAACATGTACAACAAGGCTCTGGGAAGTGTGGGTGCCGAGGGTGCTACAGCACCTCCTGGTGGATGATAGAGGAAATGCATTTCCAGGCAGTGTAAGAAACAAAGATAAACTCAAGAACACTTATTAGCCCATCATACACCTGGATTCCAATATTTCCATATTAACCATTGTATGTCAACAATTACTGTCTGAAAGTTTTATTAAAGTCTGTCCAGGATTCATAAGATACTTTGCTGACACACACAGACTTCAACAGATATTGCCAATGGTTGAAGATCTTGTGCAATCTGTACTCGGAGTATATACTGGGGATGACTCTCAGCTACTACCGCACCAAATCTGGGCGCAGTATTTGTAAAACCGACTGATTTGCATGGGGTTTGATCAAACTAATTATCTGTGTTAGCCATTTTAAATTACTCCAAAGTAAATCCTTGTAGACTACATATCCAATGATTTGCTGCTGTCAATCCAACGGTCCACAGGATAATTTACGCACAAGCATTTACATTATCGCCCGCCTGTTCATGGCCATGATGCAGGCAGGTTTTTGTGAGTGCGGGTAGTGAGCCCCTCCCTCTGTGAGCTGTAGGCGGGCCTGGTCCCCCACCCCCCCCCCCCCCCCCCCACCTCGCCGCAGTCTGCAGTAGATCCTCGGGTCGGCTCTGGGTGCAGAGGACTGCAGTCTCCATCACCGCTGCATGCTCCTGGCAGGTGCAGGATCCACAGACAGGACCACCATGTAAGTCCCTTCACATCCAAAATGTTAATCATGAAGATTTTTGCTCTGTGCATTGTGCGTGAGTTTTATTTCTACCGACTTTTATCCGGTGTTACTCTTATTTAAAGTTGTTTTTTTGTTGTTGTTTTTATGCTCCAAATTGTTTCCCAGGCTGCCTCTGACGTGATCAGACGCTCAAAACGCAAATTTATCAATAACATAGACTGAGATTTGAGCCTGACATCAAACGAGCCTCATTTCTGGTATTATTTGGGTCTATGGTTCTGATCCTTGCTGACCTCAAAATGTCTTTGGACTAAAAAGAGAGGAGTGATGCAGCAGAATTCTGCCTCCCTCTCTCTCTCTCCTCTGTGCGTCGCAGGAAACCGTGTCCTGTTTCACCTCTGCAGAGATGAAACAGAGCCCTGAATGCAGCATCCTCACTCTCAGACAGACTAAAGCTCATCAGTGACTTAAACAAAATGCATTTATTTTTGCACGTTTTGTTCAGTTCTGGGTGACACGTTTTGTCCTCCATCAGACCTCTTGACTTTTATCAGTTGCTTCTTATTTAAGCTTTTTATGTGATGTTTATAAGAAGATGTGTGATTTCTCTTCTTTCCTCAGGGCTTTCATCTCAGCTTTAGCTGTTTTGGCCCTGGTGTTTTCAGCTGAAGGTCGTGTTGGGTACGTTGTTTTACTGTAAGGACGAAGACTGAATCCAAACTTACAACTCCAATATATGAATTAAACTAGAAAATTAAGTTTAAAATAATTTGCAATGCATTTATTTTCCTAAACTTTGATTGGGTTTTAGCATGATGTTACAAAAAGTTATTTAAATCGTGTTCAGTTCTCTCTGCTGGGATTTATTTAGTCCATTTTGTAAAAAAGTCTTGCAGGAACTGACCGTCACTAAATCTTTTTTCTTTCCCATTATTCTAAAATGATTGTTTCAGAATAAACTGATCAATAACTATCTGATAGTTTCACTTTAAAGCTGTAATTAACTTTTTACTTTGGTGTAATAAGCTGTTGGTCCACTGCTTAAATGTATGACCAAAGCTACAGAACCACCTTCCTGTTCGTCTTTAACTCTGATTGGCTGAAGGTGACATCACTGTCTCAGGTTGCCTGCTTTTTCAAAAGTCCAGTTAATTTGGTACTGAGGTCAGGGTTTTGCAAAGACCAATATATTTTTACTGTTGTTTGTTAAAAAAAAAAAAAAAACTAGAAACATTTGTACAGATGTGTTTTGTACATAATGTATTTTATGATGTTAGAAATGTCTCTTAATTAGAGGCAAGCTGAGTGTTAGAAGTCGACTGATCTTGGTTACATTGTACTGTATTTTTCATTTGACAAATTATGATAAAAACATTAACACTTAGAATAACAGCTCTACCAGTTGCGCCACCGTGCTGCCCGGATTCACAGAAATATTTAATAAATTGGAAATAAATATGGGATGAATAATGACACTCAAACGGGGAAGTAAAATCTATGACTTTTTTTAATTTTGCACTAGTCGGATCCTGGACACCACTTGTCAATCAATCTAGTACGCTCGTCAGCAACTGACCAATCGGCGACCTTAATTTGTCCCGAAGGTAAACGCCCCTTACCTGCAGGAGCAACACCCTGTTTTCCTCCGACAACATTGTCGGGGTTTTGCATTACAAACAGAGGTTAATAGTTAAATTAAAGGTTAAGTTGTGCTTTGTGTTGTATGTAGATATATGTTGCAACTTCTGGCTGCACAAGTTTAGTTTTTGTTTGCTATGATCCTTTAAAAGTCCTATTTGTGACTGAGCTCCTCGTTTACGGCCATACCACCCTGAACACGCCCGATCTCGTCTGAACCTCTGAAGCTAATCAGGGTTGGGTCTGGTTATTACTTGGATGGGAGGCCACCTGTGAAAATCAGGTGCTGTAAACTTTTGCACTTCTCACAAACAATTTTCAAGGTGACTTTATTGTCATTCTCATCACATGTGGTACATGACGTGGAATGAAACTGTGTACTCGAGGTCCCAGTTACATCCAACAATAGCAAAAATATAAAGCATAAAAAAAGAAACATGAGATATACGATAATAATCTAATGTAATAAGGTGTATTAAACAGCAGCCTGAACATGAGTCTGTTGTGAGCAGATAGGTGAATATAGCAGCTTAAAGTAAGAAATCAATAGAAAAACTGACCATGGGGTGTGTTTTCAGTACTGTTGGGGGGGAGAAAGCACCCCTAAAGCTCAGATCCTAGAATCGCCCCTGCTGAGAAATAAATGTGGTTTATTGATTTATTTTGTAGACCGAGTACGAACACCAGCTTCTGCACGGAGTCCAAGGAGTGTCTGAAGTATGAGCTGGTCTGCCGAACAGATGAGTACGAAGTAAGTCGCTTAAGAAGAGCAAAGAAGAAAGAAAAGAAGAAGAAGAAATTAGATGAAGACAACCACCCACTGAGATTTTAACCTGTTATGGGCATGTGTGTTCAGGTGCGACACTACGGCCCCACCTGTTGGCTGTCAACAGATGCTGAAGCGTATTTCATGGGGGTGGGTGCAGCCATGGCTTTCAGGAGACTTTTCCAGTACATCACCGGAGCTAATGAAGCAGGTATGAAGACGAGATAAATCTTTTTTTTAATTTTTTTATTGTCGTTGTTGTTTATGTAATTGTGTGCGCTGTGGGCAGGTGTTCAGATGGACATGACTGCCCCCGTTCTGGTGAAGGTCCCAGAGGAAACCAAAATGTGGGAGCCAGCAGTGTACACGCTCAGCTTCCCTCTGCCGTCAGCCTATCAGGACAAACCGCCAGCGCCTACTAATGACAAGGTGAGTCAGCAGGTGATGGGGGAGAACTTTAAATGCAGGGCCATGCAGTTTCCCTGCTGCAGGACATGAGGTCAAATTATGTGTACCTCAGAGGATCTGTGTGTAATTTAATCAGTGACTTTAGCATCAAGATCAATACGGAGCACTGATATATGCTGAGGACTGGTTCCCCTTTAATCTATACATAAATCATTCTATACTGTATCTTTACAAAAAGGAAGAGTTTTATTGCAGATTAAACAGAAGTGGTTTCCAGCATCACCTTTTGCATAAATAAGCAAGTGTTCCTGTTTCATGATGTTGTCTCAGCAGTGGAACTTTAAGTTTTACATGTGGTTTGTTGTTGTCTGATATTTTGCCTGTGTTGGCTCCACAGCTGTATTTTACCGAGATGCCAGAGATGCTCGTGTACGTGAGGAGTTACGGAGGCTGGATGCTGTCGGTCACCTCCAGGCTTCACGCCCACATGCTGACGAAAGAGCTGGAGAGAGTGCGAGCTTCCCACAACCGCAGTTATCACTATGGAGTCGGTTATGACAGGTGGGACACGCATTCACCTTCCTGCTGATTATTAACTTTATTTTGTCCTGAGTAGGCCTGTCACGATAACAAGTTTTGCTGGACGATTAATTGTCTCAGAAATTGTTGCAATAAACGATAATATTGTTTAAAATTTGACAATAATTAGTAATTATTGTCAAAATTAAGAAGAAATGTTGGCTAATTTAATTTTGAGTGTAGGACTTTTTTGACCACTAGATGGCAGTATAAGACTGTTTGAACCCAAGGATGGATAGCGAGGGAGCAAGCAGCGTGTCTCTTGAAGAAAAATGGGAGGGAGACCCCTTGACGTGACATGGGCTGTCTCTCCTTCCTTGTTTTCGGTTCTCAAAATGGTGTACGCTCGGTGTGGTTTGAGCTCTTTAGCGTTGCATTTTTCACACAAAGCTTTTAATAAAAAATCAGTAAAGAAGTTCTCAGGTTCTTTTTGCAGAGAAAAACAACTTTTTACATGAAGGCACGGGTTTCAACTGTGAATTTTGGAGCTTCGACAAGACGGAGGTTTTTTCCCGAGGTCGGCCTGTTAGCTTAGCTCGTAGCTTAGTTTCTCAGCTTAGCTGCTTTTAGCGAAAAGACTAGAAAAGAAGAGAAGAAACGATAAAGTCGATAAATGAAAACGAGGTCGATAATTTTCATTTATCATACAATTAATTGAATTATTGTTTATTGCGACACAGTTTGACTTTACAAGCCTAAACTGATATGATTCTATTTATGGTTTGCATGCGATTGCATTGTAAGTTGTGTGATTGCTGGAGATTTTTGCAAAGAATTTCCAACGGATGGTGTCCTACACTAACTTTGGAGCTGTCTAAACTCTTCCCACTCTCATAACCTTTTTAGCACATACACAGATTATACATAAAAAGGTGGGCATTTTTTGTCTTCTTCCACCCCGTAAAATATAAATATAACATGAAACACTGTCGGAATATAAAATTTACCATGTGTGACCACGAGTCTTCTGTTTGAGGCTTACTTTTTAGTTTGTGTATTTTCTGCCTGTCTTGAAAGTGCTGTCAGGGAGTGACAGACACAGGTGCGTGGTTACCATGGTACCGTAGCTTCAAGCATTCTTTTGATCCTAGTTGTCTTGACACATCAGTTCATGGCATTTTGTCTTGGATGTCGGTTATTACAAAGTTGATTTGGTCAGTACATGCATTGGCACCCTTCAGAAATGTTCTAGTCTTTTTGATGCTCTCGTGTTTGTGTGTGCAGCCCCTTGAAGCTACTGGACAGACATAATGAGGTTTGGTATGTGGCCGAAGGGGAGCCAGTCTGCACAGATCCACAGGAACCGACTCCTGCACACACGCCTCGTCCGACTCCAACCGGCCTGTCCGCCGACTCCCCATCTGACCCGCTCCCACTCATGCTCTCCGACTCGCCCTCACTTATTCCCTCCAACCTGTCCTCAAACACGTCTAACTCCTCTTTACTGCTGCCTTCTGATGGACCTGCTGTCTCCACGTCTGAAACGCCAACCAATATTTCATCCACCCTGCCCTCTGACCCTACAGTCAGCCATCATCCACCCTCCGCCCCGACTTCGCTGGACCCAGCGACCAACTCCTCAGAGCCCGTCTCTGTGGGCCCGTCGCTGGAGCCGCAGCGTGATGCTGGCGTGTGGACCAGCACAGCTCTCAGCTCCGTGGACACACGAGCTGAAAACAACACCGAGGTCCATACGGATGCAACCCATTAGCATCAGTCTGATTGTAGAACTCCAGTTATAGCAACAAGGGTTAATGCTAGAAATAAACACTGAAGGTGCAACGTAGGGTGTTTCATAGACAGAAGTAATGCACTCTTCATCTATATCTCTCCTTTTTGTGTATTTCACCGCCTTATGACACCGTGTTTCTTAGAGAGAGCTCAGATTTCTGAAGTGAGGTGCTGTGGTAAGGTTATTATGGATTAATAATTTATTGCCTGTTGTAGACAGATTTTTGAACACAATCAATTTGGATTTTTTTTTTTTTTTTACCAGATTGATGAGCTAATGGCTTGGCCAAGCAGGGCTAGGGCCAAAGAGGATTTCTACCATGAGCACAGGGAAGTTGGATGTGGTGACTGAAGGATACGGCAACTTGACTCAACAGTTTACTGAAGCAGCAGCCAAAACGTCACGTTTTTTTTAATATACATAGACACTAATACAAGCAATGTCAGCTGTAGCTCTACTAGCGAGGGTGGTATGAATAAAACTAGCAGAAACCAAATTTACTTTTCTTGTTCTTGTTTTTGGACAAGCTAGCATGAACATTGCAGCACAGCTACAGGAAGCCAGAGAAGATGCAGTTTAAGAGGTCATCTATGTAGAATAGATAATGTCAAACTCCAAAAGGGGTCAAAATTAAAAACGTCTTCCAAGCAAGGGGCCAGTTTCAATTGATACCAGACATATTTTCTTGCTTGCAGGTTCATCACCAAGAGTTCGATTGGCATCATTTGGTGTTCTCTACTGCCCTTTCCACATCAGAAATCAAAGATTACTGAACAATTCGAGCTTTCGACCATTTTTTGGCTTCCAAGTTAGCCAGCTGTCTTGAGAAGTCTGAGCTAAATTCTATCAGTTTTTAAAGCAAAATGAGAAAAGATGAAAAATATTTAACATTTAATATATCTTGGGGGGCCAGAAAAGATGTTAACAAGGGCCAGATTTGGCCTGCGGGCCTTCAGTTTGACACATGTACTTTAGAGCGTTGAATGCTGGAAATATTGCTTTAATACTTGCAACCATCCTCTGTTAAGTTATATTCTGCCACTGTTTACCTTACAGGCATGTTAAAAGCTAAAAATAGAGTATTTTTTGGCTACAGGCACGTACAATGGAAGTATTTTCCCCCTAGTATTTGTACTATAGGATTTTAGTTTGCTCACCCCTTGAAAAAATGGACCATGAGGTCTCAGTTTAAAGAAATAGGATAATTCTAACTGGACTGATGAGCTAATGGCAATTTTTGCAAAGACTAAAGTGGCTTGTTGCTGTTTTATGTTTAATTAATTTATTTTACTCTAATATGAAATAATTCAATTGAAGTTACAATGAAAGCTATTATAAACTGCTATACCACCGTCAGCTTCACATTTAATTGGTTACATATTATATTATGTGGTTAATTGCAGCTAACTGTAGTACTTCCTGTGCAGTTTGGGACACTTTTGTCATGCACATCATATTTCTGCCAAATTACCTGCTTGATGCTAAATTGACAGTGGTTTAAAGGTTTATTTTAAAAAGAGTTTGCATAAACAGGGAAATAACTGAGACTGCAGTCTAGCCATTGTCTTGTCAGTCCATCTAGAATTAAATTGTTTCTCCAAAAGTCAATTGTTCAAAGAGCTGTTCATCACAAGTAATAACTATTTATAACCTTTCCATAGAACCGCACGTCAAAATATCTAAGTCCTACTACAACTCTTGCATCTTCAAACATATGTGCGTCCTCTTCATCGTACGGGGATATCAAACCGCTGCGTGCTGACTGAGCTGTAATATTTGTCTTAGTTTAAACATTAGGATAAACTTGCATTGATTGTGTTGATTATGAAGCTATAGCTGCTAACAGTTTATTTCACAAAACTGTTAGGACTTCAACCTAAATCTGTTTAACTATTAAGTTTAGAGCTGGGAATAACTACTATATGTCAGAAGAAAGTGGACCTCGGCTGACAGAGCTCACTGAAACTTTCTATCCAGCTTGAACTTTTTAAGCTTTATTATTATTATTATTATTATTATTATGGTATTTTCACAGTAGTATGCTTCATGTATTGGCATGTTCAGTGGGATCTTTGCTGCAACGTTGAACCGCCGTACTAAAAGTACAACTTTCCCCCCCCAAAAAACTTTGATTACTTGCATTAATGTATTTTTATTTTTATTATTATATATTTTTTAAATTAGCAGCAAGAATGTTTAAAATATTAGTTGAACTCTGGCTATGTTTTCTCCATAATGTTGCTTAAATTGGTTTTGAAGCAATATTCAATGAGGTAACGTTTGCTGATAAAATAAATATTGTCAAGTTAATGCTTGATCTTTTGAGCTTTTTTAAATAATCAAAACTAAGCTGAAATCAATTAAAGCAATAATTAGTCACATACAGTATCAAAAAGAGAGGAATTAAACTAAATGTTCTTAATTTTAATGTCAGCCAGAACGTTTCTGGCCTTTTTGAGCAGAATCTAACCAGACGTCTGTTGTTCAAAAGAGATTTTTTTCTGTGTCAAAACTTTCAGTATTCAACTCTACGTAACATGTTCTAAAACCTGCACAGGTTTTCTTTGATAGAGTTGCTGTAGAGCAAAGCTGTGATCAACTTTTGCTTCCCCACTTTTTCTGGTTTCCTATCATCACTTTGAGGATGGGCATGCTTCCTGTGGGATGAGATGTGGACATTTATTCATTTCCACACTAAAGAAATAGTAAAACGACACTTCGAGCCGCTTAAAGGAAGAGAAAACCACATTATCTGGACTTGAACACAATAAATGTTCTAAAAGGAAATGGTGATTTTTCATAAAATTGCGTTTTATCTTCAAAAGAAATGGTAAACATTACCTCTATCTTAGCTTATGCACAGAAAACAAGAAATAAACTCTACTCTGCTTCTCGTGAAATCTTTAGTGCTCATACCAATAAATAAACAAATCACATTTTCTAGACTACACTTCCTGACATTGCTCTCTAAAATGCTCCACAAACTCAGTAATCCTTTTCTGTAATGAAGACTGCACCAAAGATCGCAACTAATCGCATTAATGCAATAAGAAATGTTAAGAAGGAACACCCTGTACATCTCAGAGCTGCATACTGAATGTTCTGAAGAAAAGCTCAATAAAAACAAACTCCTGTTGAACACTTTGTTGGTTTTGATGATTTTTGACTTAATTGTATTTTTGAATCATCCACAGATGATGTCATATTTACAGATATTTACACATTTGATCTTTTTGTTAGTATTTAGCTTTATTAACTTTGTGTAGTTTCCTAAAATGACCCTTTTGACAGATGTATTTCATATTTCTATTCACTTTCAGGCTTTAAATGAGGCATGTGTACGCAGTTAAGAAGTGCATTTCTCGTCTTTATCTCTGATTTAATCACTAAAACTCTGCACAGTTTGCTGCTCCTGAAGCCTCACTCATCCTCGGCTGGAGATACGGCCTCATTATTTTTACCACCTCCCTTGGCTGAAACTCACATTCTGAGCTTTATTAGACTGTGCAAAATATTTGAGTGAAATTTTATTGTTGAAACTATTTGAAGTCAACTCTGTCAGTCATATTAACAAACTGTCTCAGGAAGCATTGGACAGATTTCATGAAGCACATCGCCCATATCAAAGACCCCTTTGTTAGACAACTAAATCTGTGAATATTTTAATTTCGATTCAATGCTTTTGTTATTTCCAATGTGTAAACGTTCACATTCAAGCCCACCTTTTTTGGATGAAACATGCAACGTGTCCCACCCCCCAAAAAGTTTTTGTGTGTGGGAAATGTGATGCAAAACATTGCTTGCATTGCTAAAAACAAATACAAATTTAAAAATACAAATTTCCTGCGAAAATGCAGCAAATGCTTATTGAAGAACTTGCTTAAAAACAGCTGAAATTAGCTAAAAAAAACATGCTGAATTGTAGCTGAAATGGAAGAACAAGCCTAAATCGAAGAAAGCAGAAAGAACATATATTTGCTGAATTAGGTTCATATTAGCAGAAATGAGCACAAAAATTAGGAATTAGCTTTAAAAAAGCTGAAATTAGCACCAAAAAAGAGCTGAAATGTAGCTGAAAATGTAAAACTACCAGAAGAAAGCAAAAAGAGCTTAAATGAGCTTAAAATTGGAATAAGCTGAGAAAGCTAAAATTAGCATAAACAGCTAGCAGAAAAGGCTGAAGCTAGAAGAAGAACGCTGAAAGAAGCATAACAAGCTGAAATTAGCAGAAAGAAGTTAATTAGGCTGAAAGTAGCAAAATATTTTTTATACTTCTTTTCTTGTCTTGTCTAAAAGTCTTCTTGACTAATATAAATAAAAAAAACTCACATTTGAGGTTTGAGTTGTAATTGAGGCTGAAACCAGATTTTGAAAAGGTCTCGAGCTCAATAGCCATTAGCTTTCACCTGCAGGTAAGATACTGAGTCGTCCTCAGCAGACATCCACCCATCCATCTATCCATTATCTTTATTCTCTTCTTCTACTTCCACAAGTATAAACTCCATTTACCAAACACATTTCAGAGTTAGTGTCTAATTATGTGGTGCATGTCAGAGATTTTTTGCTCATTTAAACTTTAGAAATAGGCAAAAATTGAGCTTGACGTCACAAGTTCTTTAGCATAATGCATTTGGTGTTTTTTATTAAAAAGTGTTTCAGTTGGCAACTACTGTTCACATATCAGTTTCGTCAAATCACATATTTCACTGTGATATAGCTTATCCAACATACAGTAAAGAACCATTCATGCTGTTCTAGAAGCACCGAGATACAATAATGTCCAAAAATTCCAGCCCCCCCCCACACAAAACAACAACAAAAAAGAAAACATCTGCATCACATGTTTATGGCTCTTATTCTTTTGCAAACCATTTGTGCTTTCACTCATCCACACGCTGACAGCTATTGATAGAATAAACTAAAATAAACTATAGTAAAAACTGAAAAGTCCAGTCAGTAAATCTGACACAAAGGCATTTTATCCTTTAGTTTGGCTTCATGTTCAAAAGAGCTTTTGTACTGAGAAACTTCGGTCTGTAGAAACATAGAAAGGCAGAAGACTGTTCGGTCTGCGAGTGTCAGTGTGACTCAATAATATTTTCTTTGAAAGAAAAGCTAAAGTTTATACTTCAAACAATTAAAGTATACAGGAAGTATACAGCCTTTTAAAAGAGACTCTAACTTGTGCAACGGATGATTAAAAAAACTTCCTTCTGTTTGAGTACAGCTGTGCGGGGGACATTCTTATAAACATACATAGAAGTTTAATTTCTATTTCCAGGAGAATCTAAGGACCCGTCTCTGTGCACATATGGGTTAGATTTTATGTTTGAATATGTGCACTTTAACTTTTACTGCATTAAACTCCTCCTGACTTGGAATTGGTTGCCTTCTTGGTAATGCTTGCTCTCCTGCTTCCTCCTCCTCCTCCTCCTCCTCCTCCTCCTTGCCAAAGATGGCTGGGGATGGTGAAGGCGTCTACACTCATGCCCAAGGTTTTGGATGGGATGGAGCTGAACTGCTTCCTGTCTGAGCTGTATTTGTACATGGATTCCACCTGGGTGGGGTTAACCATTCGCGGACCCATGCCTGCCAGCCGTACGAGCTCCTGAGAGTCGGGGTTAGTGGTGTAAACACCTCTGAACTGGCAGCTTGAGTCACGGAAGAGAATAAGGAAGTGGTTTGCAGAACTCTTCTCCATTTCCTGAGGTTGGATCAAAAACAAGGCAAGAAAGTCTGATCTTATTACATCATCTTCAGGCGTCAAATATATATATATATATATATAAATATCAAGCGTACAAGGTGGCTCACCTCAACTATCTTGTTCTTTTGTGTTTCGTTAACTTTTCCAGCGAGGCAGCAGCGTGTCAGAGCATTGTGAATTATGTATTTGTTGGACTTGAAACTTGGTTCTTTGAAGAGTTTTGGACCTGAAAATGTAAATTCGGGTACAGTCATGATCACAAACCCAACAGAAAACATGTGAGCTCTGCTGGTAAATCTCCATATTTTCTGTGCTGTTTGGAGATGTACCTGTGTAATCTGGGGCAGGCGATGTCCCATTGGACCCAGACTCCCAGTCCTGGGGTTTCTTTGTTGGATCCCCACCATTGTTTCCTGCTTCATCTGTGGCTGCAAGGTTCAGTGAAGAGTGGGAGTAGACCTTTGTTAGCTTGGAACCTAAAAAAAATCAAACGTTAAAACAAAACATTTTATTTAAAGCAGTAAAGTACAAAAACTACTTTCTTTTCCAATTGTTTTAATTTAATTTAATTTAATTTTTTTTACCTGTTGCACCCTTGGCTGGACTCAGAGACAGCTTTGTTTCCTCCCTGGTCATACTGCGAGGCCGTGAGCGAGTTTTCTTGGTTGACGATGGACCTCGGTTGGGGGATTTCTGCTTCAAGACTTTGTCCAGGTCCTGCATGATTCTGAGCTGTTGCCGTCGCATGTACTCTGCTCGTGTGAACTCCCCGCGTCGAGCGGGAGTAACCGGGGGTGTGGGAGAGGGTGAAGTTGTGCCTGCGGGAGAAATGTTAGAAGGAGATGCCACTCTTCTTTCGGTGGATGCTGGTCTGAAAAAAGAAACAGAAGGTATTAGGATTCAAATTGTTGGCTTGGCTTTAGTGTTTGACATTGACCAAAAAAAGAAAAAAAAATCAGATGCAAAATGGCAAAATGGGTGTTCCACAGGGTTCTATTTAAGGCCCACAGCTTTTTTACTTGTATATTTCTGAACTACTTGAACGTTGTAAAGATGCTCAACACCAAATGTATTCAGATGATGCTAGCCTGCTTTATACGTATCAAAACTCCTCAATCAGCCTCAGAGTTATTGAGCAGCATTTAGAGAGAGATTTTAAAAATATATATATTTATCTCTGCACAGTGCTGAAACAGCTTCAGGGAGTTTTACAGTCAGGAGTGTAGTCTGTGATTGGTTTCTGTTACACAACAGATAGAAGTCCAAAAGTAGATGAGGTCAAACATTTAGGTGTTGTTTTTGTATTAAGAATGAGTTTGTCTTAAACAGATTGTTCGCCCATAAAGGCTGCTCAAATATTTATACATGCTTCATTTTCATTCAGTTCTTCTGATTTGGAACAGTTGGCCAACAACAATAAATCAGTTAAATATTTTTTATTCAAGTTGTCAATTTTCAGTAAAAAAAACTGAAGTTTAATCAAAGACATACAGTATCTGTGATAACTAATATAAAACACTTTTAATTTTCTTTCTCTTAATGTAATAATTGACTCCTGGTCTTATTGTGTGAATGTTTATGAAGCATTCACACTATTTTCTTCCGTACGTTTTTCTGTATCTTTCGCATTCAACAATTTTTATGCTATTTCAACAAATCATATATCAGACTGTTCAGCTCGTTCACGAGAAGGGTGCTATGACTTTTAGTATTGGGGCAGCTTTAGCTTTTTGAACTATTTAGTCTTTTCTGCCATTTTTTTCTCATAGAAAATGAATTGAGCTAATTTTACATCCTTCACATCTTTAGAGCTGTTTCCAAATTTTTACTGCTCCTTTCACATTTTGTTCTGGTTCAGCTTCTTTCAGCTTCCTTGTGCAAATTTAAACAAATTTTCAGCTAATGTACTTACAGCAAACTTCAGCTGTTTTGCACTGTTTTGTGATCCTTTTAGATTCTTTCTAACTACAATATTTTTGGGCTTCTTCTAACTTCTTTCTGCTATGCTTCTTTCTGCTTATTTATGTAAGTTTCAGCCTTTTCTGCTATTTCAGAGAGTCAGAGATTTTTTATTGTCGTTCAGCTACTACTATTTCAGCTACTACTATTTCTGCTACTACTTAAGCCCCAGCTGTTTGATGCTTGTTTTAGCTTTTCAGCTAATTCCACATTTTTTGTACTTGTTTTAACATTTTTCAGACTAATTCAGCAAAAATGTGCTCTCTATTAACTTCCTTTTTGTAATTTAATCTTATTTTGGCTTTTTAAGCTACTTTTCAGCTGTTTTTTGTGTGTGCTAATTTCAGCTTTTTTCAGACAATTTCCACTTTTTGTGCTCATTTCAGCTTCTTTCAGCATAATTGGCCACAACTGTGCTACTTCCTTCTGGTTATTTAAGCTTCTTTTTAATCTTTTCAGCTACCTGGTAATTTTAAACCTTTTTTTATTTTGGTGCTAATTTCAGCTTTTGGAGCTAAATTTCTAATTTTTGTGCTCATTTCTGTCTATTTAAACCAAATTCGGTAAATACGTGTTCTTTCTGCTTTCTTCTGCTAACTTAGGCTTGTTCTTTCTTTTCAGCTACATTTCAGCATGGTTTTAGCTAATTTCAGCTGTTTTTCAGCACGTTCATTAGCAATAAGCATTCACACGGCATATTTGCAGGAAATTCAATTTCTCTAGTTTGTATTCCTTTTATGGTTGTACAAAATATATTTATTATTGTTTAACTGTCAGTTTTTATTTAACTTTATGAATTTAGCTTTTCTTAAAACCTAATTAGGGATCGTGTCTGCAAATTAGCCATTGGCTACAAGTCCCTTGTACATAATGTTAATTACAAGTTTTCAACACAGTTTTATGTTTTGTCACTTACTAAATAAACCAAATTAAATGAATGAAGAGCTACACAGGTCTCCACTTTGTGCAATCGTTGATAAAACATGCTACCTAGTTTCCCTCTCTTGCTCATGCCACTGTCTCCTCTTCTTCAGCTCCTCCGTTCTTTTCTGCTGCCTCTCCAGCAGCAGAGCTTTACGCTGAGCCATCTCTCCTTCACTGTGTCCCTCCTCCTGCAAACAAGAACACACCATAACTCAAACTCATGGTTGGCCTGACGTGAAAAAAGACAACAAAAGTCACTTAAATATTTGCTTCAAATGACACAAAAAACACAAATTGTTTATTTTTTTTTTTAAACACATTTCAACAAGAACAAAAGTTTTCTGAAATATTGTTCATTTTTGTGTTTAGCACCTCGAGGGTTCTGCAGAGAAGATAATTTATGTTAAATTTCAACACTAACCTTAAAGAATAATCCAATTCCTCCTTTCTTCTCTCCACTCGGCTCCTCTGTCTCAGCATGAGATGTGTGATGTTCTCTTGGTCCAGCTGGTGGTTCTGGCCCTTCCCTGGTTTCTGTAGCCAGATCCAATTGTTGGATCGGGCCTAGGCTCTCTGCAGCCAGCGCTCTCACAGCCTCAGCAGCAGATTCTGTGTGGTCACTCATAGAGTCGGAGGAAAACTCCTGCCCCTCGTCGGTTGGTTCGTCACTGCCCGCCTCCACCCCTCCAGCAGAAGATAATGACACTTCAATCAGGCTACAGGGCTTTCCTGCTCCTCCTCCTTCGCCTCCTGCGCTGAACGCAACAGACAGGGACAACGTGTCGCTCTCAAACGAGCACTCAGAGGGAGCTCCTGAGCTGCTGCCTCCAGTGGCCCTTTGCCTTTCCTGTCTGGGCGGTGGTAAAACCGGCAGCGCTCCCACCACCTCTGCGTCCTCTTGCTCCAACTCCAGGCTGAACTGGGTGGGCGTATCGCTTGAGCCCGTGTCTGAGGTGTTCTCTTCAGGCTGCTGAGGCTGCTGGTTAGGCTGTGGCGGCTCCTGAGGAGTCCGAGGTTCACCGATACGGAAGGAGGACGACGTCTGGACCTGACACTTGCTGGGCGAGACGCGGCGCAAGTGGGGGATGGTGTCCACATTCTGTGTTGGGGTCAAGACGCGATTGAGCGTAGGAAACTTGAGTTCAGAGGGCCGAGGGTGGGGCTGGTAGTGGGGGAGGTGGTTGTTTTTGGGACTGCGAGGAGTGGAGGAAGCGTGGATTTTGGTTCGCAGAGCAGGGCAGGAGGAAGAAATGCTGGTTTTAGGGGAGGTGGATGAGGAGGGAACGTGTATGCGTCGTGATGGGGAAGACGTAGCAGGAGGACTGGCCCCAGCAGGAATCATCCAAGCCTTACTGGTGCTCCTGGTAGGAGTCTTTGTTGGTGTTCTTGGTGGGGTCTTTGTTGGGGTGCGAGGAGGGGTTCTTGTTCTTGGTTCAGATTTTGGCATGTTTCTGGGTCTTTGGTTGCTCAGGAGCTGCTGTTGCTGTTCTGTCAGTTTCTGCATGTCCTTCTGAAGTGACTGAAGAGCTTCACTCAGTTTCTGCACCACCTCATTATACTCCACCATGACGGTCTCACCGCCTTTCTCTGCTCCTTTGTCTTGTTCCCCTTCTTTCTTGCTGTCGATGGAGAATGTGACCTGCTTTTCCAACCGAGGAGGGTTAGAAACAGATGGCTTCTCTGTCTCTGTTTCCTCTTTCTCCTCCTCCTGTTTCAGCTGCTCCTCCATGCGCGTGAGGCGCTCCTCCAGCGTCAGATTCTCCTCCGTTGCTCCATCCACTCCTCCCTCTCCTTGCTCTCTTTTTAGCTGAAGGAACGCAGTTTTTCCGAGCTTCTGCCTGTGTTTGGCAAAAATGGCTTCAATGCGCCTTTTTTGCGCTTCGATGCTTTTACGTTTCTCTTCCAGGCGAGCCCCCAGCTCCCAGGCCTCAGAGCTCGGCTCGGGGCCTCTGGGGCCCGGGCTGTCCTGGTTGTGACCAGCTGGTGTGCAGGGTGAGTGTGGAGTTGTCGGGGTTGGAGCAGAAGTTGACTCCTCTCCAGCAGCAGTGGGATGTCTTCGCCGGTTGTCTCGTCGCTCGGCGAAGCTCGTCATGCGTGGACTATTGCTGCCGCCGTGGTTTCCCTGGCGACTGTTACTGGGTCGAATGTTGCCTGGGGCGTTTCTGGGCAAATCATCCGATGCTTCAGAAGAGTCGATGCTGCCATCTCGCAGAACAGAGTCGTCATCACGTGACATGTCGGAGGGCTCTCTGGATCTGTCCCTCCTGCCTTGCCTTTCAGAATCACCATCTCCACCTCTAACTGGTCGATAGGGGAATCCTGATCGACTGGGAGCTGAGCTACTGAGCTGAGGTTTGTCTTCTTCAGGGGAGTGCAGAAAGAAACCTGCAGGTGCTCCCTCTGGACGTAACCTGGGCTCTGGCCTACTTCCTAACACTGCTCTCCCACTTTTCTCGGCTGTCCTGCCTTTCTTGCGATCCTTGATGCTGGGCATATGTATCACCTGTCTTGCCTCCTCGATGGTCGGCAGCTCTCCCAGCAGAGCTGTTTGTGCATAAGGACCCCAGGAAGAACGATGCGATGGAGCAGAGGCGCTGACCAGGTGGCTGAGGTCCTCTGGAGGGCTGTATGGGACGCAGTTCATCCCCATAGACGATGCAGGAGAGTTCAGAGCAGGGATGCCAGTGGAGAGGTTGTCAGTGCTGACAGAGCGAAAGACAGAATCTATTGGGTTTCCCATGACAATGTCAACATCACTGTCCAGGCCAAATGGGATACTGAAAGTCACTGCTGACAGAGGACGACTGCAGAAAGGTGGGTAGCAACATAAAGATGCACGAACGGATGATTAAAAAAAAGCAGAGACCACAGAAGCCAAATTAAAACACAAATGTAACACAACATTAATGATCCAAAACACGTTTTCATTTGTACTCACCTGATTTGTTTCTTTGTCCAACTTTTTTCTGCAAAAAAAAAGGTTTTAAAACATTATAATGAACGTTTTAATGTCACTCAGATGTATATTATTGATGCATTTATAGTACCTGGAGATACAGGGGAAGGGATGGGGACAAAAGGTTGCTTGAAGATGAAAGAAGGAGAACCACTGAAAGATACAGTTCAATTCAGTTTATTTATATAGCACCAAGTCACATAAGAAGTCATCTCAGGGCACTGAACAGAAACATTCATATATATAAAAATATGTTAACAACATTATTTATCTGAGGAGCAGACTGCTTTGGGTTTAACTCCATCACAGAATTCTCATCTTGAACAAGCATGAAGGCGACAGTGGAAAGGAAAAACTCCTTCATGAGGAAGAAACCTTTAGCAGAACCAGACTCAGGACAAGCGGTCATCTGCTTTGATCAGCTGGGTTTGGTAGGAACAGATACACAATGGCAAGTCGAGAATCACATGTTGAGATGGAAATAATATCAAAGGAAAACTATGAAATTTTAACAATTCATTTTAAGAAATGTGGTCAAATTGTCCTCTACTAGTCTAAGCCTATAGCAGCATAACAAGGCAACCCCAACTATAGGATTTATCAAAAAGGAAAGTCTTAAAACTGGACAGTGTGTCAGCCTCATGGACAGAAACTGGAAGTTGGTTCCACAAGAGAGGAGCCTGATAACTGAAAGATCTTCCTCCTAGTCTAATTTTGGAAACTCTAGGAACCACCAGTAAGCCTGCAGTCTGAGCGTGAAGTGCTCTGTTAGGAAAATATGTGACAATAAGATCTTCAATGTAAGATGGAGCTAGGTTGTTGAGAGCTTTGTAGGTTAGAAGTAAGATTTTGAATTCAATTCTGGATTTGACAGGGAGCCAATGGAGAGAAGCTAAAACTGGAGAGATATGATCTCTCCCACTAACTCCAGTTAAGACTCTGGCAGCAGCATTTTGGATCAACTGAAGACATTTTAAAGAAGTTTTTGGACACCCAGATAATAAACCATTACAATAATCCAGTCTAGACTTGACAAATGCATGCACCAGTTTTTCTGCATCATTTTTAGATAAGATGTTTCTAACTTTTATTGATATTAGGCAGGTGGAAGAAGGAGTTTCTATTAACGTTTTTAATGGATAAAAGACATGTCCTGATCAAAAATAACACCAAGATTTTTATCATTAGAGCTGGAGGCCAGATTAATGCCATCTAAGGTGAGTGGAAGACTGAAAAATGTATTCATAAGATGCTCCTGTCCAAAATCTTAAACCTCAGTCTGTCTGAGTTTAAAAGCAGAAAATTTAGGGTCGTAAAGGTTTTTATGTCTTTAAGACATGCTTGTACAGTTCTCTAAATGATGAAATATTATTCCGTTTGTGATTTGTGTTGTATTTTAGCGGAAAATATTTTCTTCTTTTTAACAGTACTGGATCCCATTTGACTATTTGTCAAGTTCAAGAAGGTTTTATCTTGTTTTGCTCAAAGTTTTTAAGTATTTTTTTTTAAACCATGAACACGTGCAGCCTATGAAAACAGACAGGAAGAGAAAAGATTGCACTTTTTAAAATAATGCTGTTTTAACAAATTCAGGATTGGACTAATTTTTCCTAGATTCTCAGATTATTGTATGTGTCATAGAACGGTCTGGTATCAGCAGAAAGTTGATACCTGTTGCTGTTCCCGCTGACGGGGCTTGTACAGTCAGGTAATCCTGAGACATCTGAAAGATACAGAATGACACATTTCAGGGTCTGCGTCTGTGGAACCAGCTGTGATAAAAGAGGAGGAAAATGGTGATGGGGTGATGTCGCCAACCTGTGAGGTTGATAGGTTGTATTGGTTTGACAAAATCAGGCTTCTTCACTTCAAACCACTCCAGCAGCTCTGCTATGAAACTCATTATGTTCAGCTGAGAGGAACATGTTGCCATCGAGATCCAAGAGAAAATAAAGATGCATAGTTTAGGAGGACAGACTGTGAATTAAACTAATGCACTAATGACGAACTAAAATGTTACACGTGCTGACCACTAGGATATTTGCTGCAAAACAAGCGGATGGATGTTTTTCTCCTTGGTTAAGTTTTGAATACATAAAAGTACATTTTTCCCATCAGTAAATCGGATGTTGCAGGAGCATTATAGTTGGAGATCTTAGTGCCTACATGCAGAGCTGGTGGGGCGTAAAGCAGGTCCTCCACAGCGAGTGGGCAGCAGCTCCTCAAGTTGTTCTCACAAAAGTCTTTGATCAGCTGCAGGTTGTAGACGCTGTCCGCCACTGACATGGTGTCCTTTAGGCACACGTCTGGAACAGCACAGAAAGAGACTTATGTCAGTCAAATCAAATTTATATATGTTTTAATATTTCTTGTTATATCGGTGAAAAGGTTTTGAGTCATCTCATTTATTTTTGTCCTCGTTCATTTTCTTGTAATCTTTTAAAGAAGTCTTGAACGAGGTTGTTTTTAACTGATTCATGTCTTTTATACGAATTTTTCAGTCAAGTATTTATTTCTGGAAGAAAGTTTTTATGTTTGTTCAGCCACTCTACTCAGACTTGTGAATCGTTCAGGAACACAGAGGCTACAGTTTTGTTTTCAAAGAAATTAGCAAAGAGATTTTTTAAATGGGATCTTTCAGAACTTCTAGTCTTTGACAATTATTTTTTCTTTTGTTAAAATATGTGCCAGCAGGCACAAAAGATGTATTTTAGCACAAAGAAGATAATTCCTGAAGAGATATTTGCTGAGACATTGTTGAATTTTGCTGAAGAAATTTGCTTATTGGGGACGGCCTAGTATAATGCAGCCACCTATTATTATCCGCCTGACAAGGGGGTTTTAACTTTAGATCTTCCATCAACTTTAATGTGACTGCAATGCCCCCACAAATGTTATATCAAAATGGACGGCTTGTCATTGTGATATATGCTATTACTTTTATTGGCATTTTCAGTTACCATGGCGACATAATTTGCAAACAAAGACACTATTTTTATTAGTCATTTTTAATGACTCTGACTGCAAATAAAATATCCAAGATGACCGCCTGAGCTAAAAGGAAAAATGATGCAAATTGGACATTTTGCAAGATGTTAAGCTGAAATTTGGTGAGGTAGCTGCTGCACCCAATGGCCAGTAAATAATGAATTAAAAAAATTCAAGATGGTCACTAACGCTCAATTTAAATGGCTTCATATCAGCTGTTTTTACACATAGTGCTGAAATTTGGTGAGGTTATAGCTAAGAACCTTCCCCATCACATACTGAATCGAAAATCCAAGATGGCCACCATAGCTTAAATGAAAAAAAAATCATTGTAACTCGTTGCTTGCCATTTTTAAGCTGAAATTTAGTCTAGTAGCTGAAAGTGAACCCCAACACATAATACTGTTAAAATCAAAAATTTTAAATGGCCACCACATGGCAGCCCCCGTCAAAGTTTCTCCAGAAACTTGCTAGTTGGCTTTAATTTTCTTTTCTTTTTTTAAGACACAACACTGCACTGACTTTTATCATTTTTAGACACATCTTGTAATAAGGGCAGTCAAGGTCAGGTATAAAAACTGGAGCAAAAAAAGCAGCTAAACCCTAACGAAAAATTCTGAAACCAAAGCCAGAAAACTATTGATCAAGACCTCTTTAAAATATCACAAGAAGCAAAGCTTATTGGATCTGGTTTAAACTTTTTTTTTTTTTTTAAATAAAATTGCACATTTAAGAGTCATTATCCAATAACTTTGCATTAATGCAAAAATCAAAACTATTATTAATTTATATATAAATGTATATATAAAATGTACATCCTTCAAATCTTTAGAGCTGTTTACAACTTGTTACTGCTCCTTTCACATTTTGTTCTGCTTCAGCTTCTTTCAGCTTCCTTGGACAAATTTAAACTTTTTTCAGCTAATCCTGTTTTTCAGCTGCTTTGTGCTCCTTTCATGAGCTTTATGCTAACTACAACATTTTTGTGCTTCTTCTAACTTTTTCTGCTAATTTCAGCTCGTTATGCTCCTTTCATCTTCTTCTGTTATTTCAACTACTATTTAGCTGTTTTATGCTAATTTTAGCGTTTTCAGCTAATTCCACATTTTTTGCACTCATTTAAGCTTTTTCAGTGTAATTCAGTAAAAATTTGTTTTCTCCACTTCCTTCTGGCAATTTAAGATTATTTTTGCTTTTTCAGCTACTTTTCAGCAGTTTATTTATTTATTTTATTTTTTTTGCTAATTTCTGCTTTTTTCTGATAAGTTCCACTTTTTGTACTAATTTCTGCTTCTTTCAGCAAATGTGTTATTTCTGCTTTCTTCTGCTAATTTAAGCTTGTTCTACCTGTTCGGCTACCTTTTCTTTTTTTTTTTTTTAGCATTTTTTAGCTAATTTTGACTGTTTTCAGATAATTCAAGTTTTTATGTAATTTCTGCTACTTTCAGCCTAATTAACTTTTTTTTATGCTAATTTCAGCTTGTTATGCTCCTTTCAGCTTTTTCTGCTATTTCATCTACCGTTTAGCTGTTTTAATGCTAATTTAAGCTTTTTCAGCTAATTCCACATTTTTAGCTCATTTCAGCTCCTTCCACTTCCTTCTGGTAGTTTAAGCTTCTTTCTGCCTTTTCAGATACTTTTCAGCCTTTTTTTTTTTTTTTTTTGATAATTTCATCTGATTTTAGCTTATTTCCTATTTTTTGTGCTCATTTCTGCTTATTTAAACCTAATTCAGCAAATATGTGTTATTTCTGCTTTCTTCTGCTAATTTAGGCTTGTTTTTCCATTTCAGCTACATTTCTGCATGTTTTTTTAAGCTAATTTCAGCAAGTTTTAGCAATAAGCATTCACACTACATTTTTACAGGAAATGCAATTTCTTTATAGCTTACAGGATATATCAAATTTTGAAAATAATTTTCAAAATGGTTGTTCTTTCATTTAAACTGATGAGGGGAACTATGTGCGTGATAGTGTTGAGGTTTGTGTGTGTACCCTCAAGAGGCAGTAAGGCAGGGCAGTAGTAGTGCACAACAGCAGCTATTGCACAGCCATTAGACAGATCTTTGACCGCAGAAACCAAGGGGAACGTCGGAGTCAGCTTGGACTGCACTTTGTCCTTTCGATAGCGGATCTGAAGAAGAAAAGGCGGGGGGGGGGGGGGGGATGGTGAGACAGGCAGAATAAAAAAAGGAAGACTTTTATAAACACAAAAATGTAAAAGAGGAGGGTTCATACATACAGTAATTTGGCAAAAAAAATAAAAAATTAAAGGGCAACAAATACAGGTAGGAGTTCAAATAGAAATTCCAAAGAGGCAAAGAAAATATAAAACCAGCCAGGACAGATTTATTTTTCTGTCGAACAGGAATTAAAAGCGTTGTGAAGCCAGGCAAACAGTGGTGAGGATTAAAAAAAAAAAAAATACCACAAAAAGCAAAGCAATAAGTCCAGTGATGCCTCGTTTAATAAACCACTGCACACATAAACACACACCGACACACCAACCAGAAGGTGCAGACCAAAGCTTAAAAACTACAGTGGGAAAAAAAAATGTCAGTGAAAATGAAGACATGTCTTCCAGTGTCCATGCTTCAGGAACAGAGTGGACAGTGAGGGTTCGGATCTGATAAATAATCAAACAAAAGACTCGATTCTAATGCACAGATGGTGTTTTGCTTTGTCACATCCAGATGAGATAGAAGCACACACCCTATGAAAGGATATGTTGTTAGTTGTTCAGCTATCCAGCCCTGTTAAAGGAGGCTGACGGTATTAAACATCGTGACACCTCCTTTAACACGACCTTTTAACGCAAAGCGATAATAATAATTCATGTTAAAGCTGGTGGGTTTGAACTGAGACAAACAGTCCCACGGTTGGACCGGTGATTGGTTTGAAGTCAGCCAATCGCTGGTCAGCGGTGTGGCGATTGATTAGTCTGTCAATCAGTCAAAAGCGTTGCTATGGGCGATGAGGAGGATGGGAGTGAGAAAAGAGCGAGGTGTTATACGTTACCACAGGAGGTTTATTCCCCGACTCCTTCAAACAAAAAGCGATAGCATGCTGGATGGGGGGGATGGCAGAGAGAAGGATACAGGAACAAATGACAAGGAGGTAGGTCATAAGTGGGTACCGCCTCACCACACAGTCATATGATTCTGCTCAGAGAACGGGGGAGGAAAAGGAGGAGAGGAAGGGGTTAAACAAAGGAGGCACATGGGTTTTTTTGATAACCACTGAACAAAAAATTTAAAAAGTCTCCTCCCCCTGTCCCCCTACACAACAATAATCTGTGCATTTGGAGACGATGAGTGAATGTTCAATTCAAAAACACCTGAACCAGCATCCAGAACATCCTCAGCTGACATCAACAAACGGCTACAAAAACACAAGTCAACGCTCCGTTCATTGCCTCAAAATGTTTTCAAATATCCATCAAAAGTTTTCCACAGAGGGACAGACAGAAGAGATGCAAGACATTTTCAGCAGGCACAATAAAGCCAGCCATGTAAACAGGGAGACGGAGAAAGGAACAGAGAGGAGGACACTTACTGGGACTAGTTTCCAGTACCAACGGTTGGACTGAGACTGCCAGAGAGCAAAGAAAGACAGAGGTGAACCAGAGACGGCTTCAAACCAAAGCTGATGTTAGAACGTCTCACCAATGAAACACAGCGACTTTATTTAGAAATGACTCACGCTCCCAGAAGGTGATAACTGGATGTACAGTAGTCCCTCGCTACTTCGCGGGTCGACTTTTGCGGACTCGCTCTTTCGCTGTTTTTCAAAGTAAGATTGTACATGACAAAAAAAAAAAAAAAAGATTGTGCACAACACATGATTGTTAACTTTAATATTAGTCACATGATTGGGACAGTACTGGATACAGTACAGTAAAAAGATAACAAAAATATATACTCTGGACAGGAGTGCCATTTTGTAGTTTTCTTTCAATAAGCCTATACTGCAGGGGTACCCAAAGTGGGGCTTTGGCTCGCCAAGCTGTCCTCATTACTATATTAAAATTTCCTTTGAAGAATCAATGTGTTTACACTCAGTCATTCCAAGTTTAATGTTAGATGGAAAGTTGGCCCAATGACTACTGTAATGACACTACACAGCTGGAGTGACTAATGTGTGCATTCATTTTTTTAATTTTACAAAACTTTTACAGACTTCATAATGTCTCTCGGCAGTTTCTTGCTGCTGAATAACATTTCCGCTGACAAAGATGAGCATCATGGAGGTGCCCATCACACACCCTTCCTGAGCACCCCCTAAATTTTAACTCAGCATCTCTGAAAAATCAAGAAACCATCATTAGAATTTTATAAGGAAACAGTTGTCAAACCTTAGATTCACCAGAATATTGAATAAATGTTGAATAAATATGGAATAAATGACAACAGTCTCAAACGGGCCAGTAAAATCTTTTTTTTTTTTTGCACAAGTCACACCACCTGTCTATCAATCCAGTAGGCACGTCGGCAACTGACCAGTCAGCGACCTCAATATGTCCTGAAGTGAACGTCCCTTACCTGCAGAGCTGCAGCGGTGTTGCATTAAGAACACTTTGCAGTCAGAGATTTCAATAATAACAGAGTTTACATCTTTTGTTTCATGTTAATCTACTGTAATAAATAATAATAATAATAATAATGGGCGGCTGTGGCTGAATGGTTAGAGCAGTCGTCCTCCATTGCAAGAGTTGGGGGTTCAAATCCACCAGCAGTCACATGCCAAAGTGTCCCTGGGCAAGACACTGAACCCCTCATTGCCTCCGATGTGTGTCCCATCAGTGTATGAATGTGATAAAGCTCTGATTAGTGTCTTTAGAATGATTTGTTCAATTAGATTTGTAGAGATCTAGTAGCGTGCTGTATGAATGGGTAAATGAGGCACAGATTGTAGTGTAAAGAGCTTTGAGTGCCATGATAAGATAAAAAGGCGCTATATAAGTACAGTTCATTTACTATTTAATAAACCTTTGTAAAATACACCAAAATGCAAGAAATGGCATCTACTTTATTCAAAATTCCCTGGGGAGGACCCACAGACCCCACCACCACCACCAACGCAGCCTGTTCTGTAATGTTCTTTACACAGAATGGAAGAATAAATAACTGTATAATAAATAAATGGACTTTACTTAAATCATTATTTGCATTTCATGTATTATATTATTGCATTTGGCCCCACAGCCCTCTGATAGATTTTAAGTTTGGCACTTTCAGAGAAAAAGTTTGGGCACCCCTGCTATACTGTAATGCCAGACAAAACAACTACACTACCCAGAAGCCAACAGTGCTTCACTGGGAGGTGGGCTTCGCCGCTGCAGGGTAGGTCTGCCGAACTGGAATCGAGCCCGATTGGAACTGAGCTGCTGATCTGCAGAGCTGGCGAGTAAAATTTTGCCGTACTGTACAGTACATAATATGTACGTTGTTAAAATGATGTGGGTTTAAGAGTTTAGAACATTGCAAGAGTTTGGGAAAGGTTCATAAAGTCTTTAAAAAAATAATCATAAAATAAAATAAATAAATGAATAAAATAATATAATATATATAAATATATATACACACACTACAATAAATATAGTGTTCCTACTTTGCGGAGTTTCACCTACCACGGGGAGGTGTGGAACGTAAACCCCGCGATAATGGAGGGACTACTGCACATTTACAACCACTTCACTTCTGGAGTTGATTTGATTCACACACAGCTAATCAATCTTAGTAGACACAAACATGTTTGAAACTGTTACTTTTGCAGATATTAAGCTAACATTTAGCATGCTAGTAGCTGAGAGTCATCCCCATCACATACTTTGAGCTCTAACAGATCATGCTTAAAATGTCTGCATGCGAAGCGGCAGGCGACATGGCATTCCCTTTAACAACTGCTTGTTTTACTATTTTAATTTGAAAGAGATCCTGTAACATGCCCACCAAGTTTTTGTTTTTAAAGTTATCGATTTTAGATACAGACACGTGGTTAAAATACCAGCTGTTAACATAAGTGGAATGAGCAAGAAAGTCTTTAAAGAGATCAAAAATAAAAACCGGTGTGGGGAGTGTAGTTTTTACCGTTTCCTGAACAGACTGCAGGTCTGTACATGTCTGTGACGTGGGAGGCTCCTCGTCTTCTGTACTTTCTCTCAACTTTTGGTTCAACTAAAAGCACAAAACAAGCACTGTTAAAGGAAAACTATAGCACACTGTTTCTATGAAATAACAGGCAGAACTCGACTTTGCTCATGTTTTAGTAAATCTGTAACATACAAAACAGGATAAATTCTTTATCATGTTTGTTCCAGATGTTTCTTTAAGCTGATACTTTGACTGTATGTATGTGTTCTCTGATGATGTTTTATTTCAGCATTTTGAAACTTCATTGGGTTTTATCATAAAAACACAGCTTGAAAAATGCATTTTCTCCATACGCTCATGCAATTTTTGATGGGAAATGTGCTTTTTTTGTCCATTTGTTGTAAAATGAATGAAAACAACATTCCTTAACCAAACTTTATTGTTTACATTTTCAACTTTTTTACTTTAAGTTCCACCGGACAAAATGTTACGTAATGTTGTGAAATGTACATTTTAATCACAAAAACCTTCCTCAAAACTGTTGACGAGAGTTTTATAAACAGTTCCATTTGCCTTGGTGGTCTTACCCTGTTGACCCAAAAGAGAAGGGCGTTCTCCCACGGAGCACCGACACCCATCTGCTCCGCCTCCTCCGCTATCTCCACCTGGCTCACGGTGTCTTTGGCAGCCAGTGACATCAGCGAGTCGATGAGGGCAAGATGGGCGTCCTGCACCAATCAGGGACAAGAGGGATACATTTAACCAGGTCACTGAGTCAAGGATTACTTGATAAAAAATATCAATGGAAAGAATATCTAAGTATTTTCTTGAATAATGAGTGATAATATAGCTATAAAAAAAAAGAAAATGTGTATTTAGTCAGTTTTTTGTTGTAAAAGTGCTTCTTGGCAACATTTATTGTTAGAAAATATGTATTTGTCATGGCCCTGAGGCTTTGGGTTTTTTGTAGTTGTGTTGTTTAATTTCTTTTGTAATAGTCTGTATATTTTACCATGTTTTTCCTTCTTTTATTATTGAGAATCCTCAGCTCCTCAGTGTTTCTCTGTCATCAGCCGTTCCGCCCTCAGTTATTCTTGCCCTAAGATAACCTTTCAGCTGTCGCCACTTGTAATCATTATTTCTTACTTACCTATTGTTGGATAATTTAATTATAAGTAAGTGGAAAAACATCCATGACCTTTACATCCCCATCACCTATACTCCCAGTTCTCACTCACTCGTCAGTCAGTCATCCTGTTTGTTATCTGCTTGGCGCCTGGACCTTTAACCGCCTGTTCCCTGCGTGCTCCTTGTTGGTTTAGTTTTTTTTGGTTTGCTGCTGTTTTTTTTTTTTTTATTTATTATTCCAAAGCGTTGCGCTACAGTCCTTGTGTTAGTCTTCAAACCCTGACTGTATGTGATGCAATGCCAAACAGTTCATTCTGCTATTACCTCTTGTTTTGAGCTTCTAGTAAACCAGCTTGGTGCCTGATTGTCAGAGGCGACCCGTGACAAACCCGTATCTCCACAACATGGGACCAAAGTCCATCCTCCAAGATGACAACACTTGTCCTGTCAGAGCAGGCTGTTTTAGAGACTACCTCAAAAAATTTGGGAGTGGGGAGGATGGAATGAACTGCTGTCCTGACCTCAACCCCACTGAACACTTGTGGAATCCCCTTTGATGTGGTATTCATTTCAGAGTGACCAGTACACCCACAATGGCTGGCCTATGTCAAAATAATGGGAGGCCATCTCACAGCAGAGTGTGACCAAGCTGCTGAGCAACATGAAGAAATGTGAGGCTGTTGTGGCTGTGTGTGGTTCTTCCGCATGCTACAGAAACCCCTGTTTAATTCATAGATTATTAAATTGTCTTGTTTCTTTGGATTTCAGTCATACAAACCAATAGACAACGCAAAGCAAGACTCTATAGCAAATATGCTGTTTGACATTAGCAAATAAAATTTGTCTCGTTTGTCACGTTTGTCACATCCTGCTGCTCAAACCGCAAATTCATTTTGCTATAAAATGGTGCATCATTTAAAACGATATAGGCTTTCCAAAGGACGGATAAACTCGTGAAGCCACTCACCATTTTGATGGGGGTGTTGCTGAGGTCCTCCTCTGCGATGTCTACATCCTGGACCTTTGGGGCGACACCTCTCTTCACGAGGAGCTGCAGCAAGGACGAGGTATCGGCCGGGGGGTCCTGCGACGCCGGCGGGGAGTCCCCGTGGGCCTGAGCCAGCAGGGCCTGAGCTCGGCAGTAGGTCTCCGGGGAGAGGAGCAGCTTGGAGACGGACGGCTTGAGGTGCTCCTGTTCAAACTGGTCCCTGTAGAACGGCTCTCGAAGCTCCGCAGGGACATTTTCTGAAGACGAGAACAAAACAGCCTTTGTGAGCTCGACAGAAATTACTACACAGTTAAATGAAATAAAGAATTTTCAGAGATTTCTAAGATGACTATTGTAATTTTTTTTTACACATACGAAACCTTTAAAATGTGCATTAAGCATCTGCAGGTCCACTTTTAGCCTCTTTGGTCAAATACATCATGACTTATGAGATGGACTGATGTCAGGTGAAACATCACAACAGCTGTTGATCAAACAACTTTAATTTTGGACTCAAAGTTCTGCTGCTTCGTTTGTCACGTCCCTTGTGAGTCTGTACAGCTGCTGTGCTGTAAATACACAATAAATGTGCAAACGTTGTGAAAACTAATGAAACTGTGGAGGGAAAACCTCAAATTCCGAAACAAAATGTAAAAAAAAAAAAAGATTAATAAAGTCAAAAAGCAATATGTGAAAAAATAACTGCAGTCTTTTAGATGTATCTTAACTAAAATAGTTTGTTATTATTGTCTAAAATTATAAACAATTCATAATTTTTAGATTTATTTCTTGGTCCAATAGCCTTAAAAAGACGTTATCCGATGCACTTGCATGTGTAAGAAATCACATTAAAAATCAAGGTGGTTAGAAGATTACATCTGTTTACCATTAGCACGTTATTACCTTCATGCCACATGCAAGTTAAGGCGAGGTGAGACAGTTAATTCATAGTTTAGTGTTAAATCTTTAGCAGCATAAATACCAAGTAAAGGGATTTTATCTTAGCAGTTTATGGTACATCTTCCTTTAAACAGGAAACACAAATCCGTGCTGCATTGTTTTCTGAGCAGCATCCTTCCACAACAGAGGGACGCTGTTTATCACGGATCATCTCTGCACAGAAAAGCTTGTCGTACAGGTTCCTGCAGACAGACTGCAGATCACATGTTCTAGTAAAGAACTGTTGGTGAGTTCTGCTGAATCTGGGCGCAGTTTTCCTCCTGAGGTGACAGGAAGTGACAGAGCCTGACTGCAGGAGAGGATGTCATCATCTGCATGAACAGCTCAGCTAGGTTACTCACGCAAGTGCGTGTGCGTGCACGTTAGATCAATGTGAGTGGGTCAGTTCATAGACACGCGCACTGTGGACTAATAAAAAACACTTATCTGGCCGACCCATATTACTTCTCTGGATAATCCTGGAAATTGGAACAATTTTTGAAGAAATGTAATTCTCAAGTGATTACTGTTTGTTTTCTCTGCGTCCACACGCATCAAAATATGGAGAATAATGAGTGCCTTTGATTTTATTTTTCTCTCTGCAGGCCGCGATCGTGAGGCTAATGCCTTCCTCCCATCCTCTGCCCCACTTCTGTGCATTGCAGTGAGGAGACAAGACGTCCATATCTCTGCATCAACCAGAGCTGCAGAGTTCCGGGGTGAACTCGTGCTTCACACAAATCTGCAGCGATGGGAGGAAATACAGACAGAGGACTTTGGTCACTATGGAAACAGTGGGAATGGGAAGCAGCCATTTCTTATCACAGAGGAGGGAATGAGATGGGTCTGCAGAGCAGGAAGCAGAGAATCAATCCACCATTAAACTTCTTCCATCAGGAACAAGCAAACACAACTGGTATATTTCCATCTTTACATCATTTTCATCTGCTGATTAGATTTTATTTTGTGAACCCACAGCTGTAATCATCATTTTATTTGTTTTATGTCCAAAACTCCATATGTGGACAGTCTGTTTTACATTAAATATATTAAAATAATAATAAATAAATAAATATGTATATATGAATGTATGTATGTATGTATGTATGTATTTAAATACTTATACGATGGGAGGAAATACAGACAACA